AAGTATAAGTTAATATTCTTATACTATATATTCTTCTATCTTTATAAAATACTTTATATATTTAGTAGGAATAGTATAAATAACTAGTATTTAGTAATTCCTATATAAAAATACTAAATACTTAGTTTTCTATATTAGATATATACTATAACTATTATAAAAGTATAATACTTATATAATATTATTATAATTAAAGTAATTCTATTTAAGTATTAGTATATTATTAGAGTATAAGAATATCTTCTTAGTTAATTTTATCTATTCTAGTAGTTTATATAAGAAAATAACCTAAAGTAGTATAAGTAAGGTATTACTAAGTTCCTCTAAATCTATATTATACTAACTATTAAGTACTTTTAATCTAACTATTCTAATCCTAATAGTATTTATAGACTTAGTATTCTTTTTATTCTCTATCTTTCTAGAAATAAGCTTCTATTTAAAGTTTTTTAGTACCTTATAGGATTATATAATATAACCTATCTTATTATAATTAAAGTATTTTTATTTTTCTATCTTTTTATAAATAGTATCTAATTCTATAGATCCTAGTATAATCCTATATAATATTTATAAGGTCTTTCTATTATACTAATATCTAAAGATATTTAGCCTATAAGTTTCTCTTAGGATCTAATATTATCTATATTATTCTTCTTATTAGTTATTAATTTTAATAGCTATACTAATATAATCTTATAGAATAGCAGGATAGTTTTATAGATTAATAATATCTTTAACCTCCTCCTTAAATCCTTTATAAAAATAACTTATTAGATAGAATTACTTCTATTCTAGTTCTATAATAATATACTTAAAGGAGGTAATATAATAAATAGTAGATTTAGTTTATTTAAGCTTATATAGCTTTTCTTTAGTAATTCTTTTCTTATTAATAATACTAAAAACTTATATAAATTTTTATTTAAACTATAAAAAACTATCTAAGATTTATATAAAAGCTTTAGTAGATTCTCTATCTAGATATTTCTCTATATTAGCTATAAACTAGTTTATAGCTATTTCTTTAAGTCTTCTAAAAATATATTCTACTTTCTATTATTTAATAGTAAGTATAATAGGAAATATTTAGTAGTATATATATAGCTTATTAATAAATATTTTTAATTTATTCTAAATTCTATTAAATATAGGAATAAGTAGTAGTTTTAAAGTTATATCTAGCTCTTATCTAGTAATAGTAATAGTACTTTTAGTATCTATAGTATTAATAATAATCTTTTATATAGATACTTACTTTATACTATTCTTACTAATATTAGTTATAATTTTTTAAAGTTTAGCTATTTTCTTTTTAAGATTTTTATTATACTTATTAGCCTACTTAAGTATATTCTATATATCTTCTATACTTTATTTAAGTACTTATAGTTTATCCTCCTTAGAGATATTAGCTCCCCCTATAGAGATATCCTTAAATAGAGATTAAGTATTTTATTTTATAAGTAGGAAATTATTTAGAACTATAATAACTTTAAGTTTACTATTATATCTCTTAGTAGATAACTTAGTAAGCTATTAATATATAATAAATAGTATACTTAAGGGCTATAGAGTAGCTTAAAAGTAATTAAATATCTTTATTTAGTAATAATTATTCTAAAGAGAAAGGGATAATAGCTTTATTACTTAGAAGTTAATTAATAAATTAAATAATAGGTTAACTTATAGTAGTATATATAAATTAATATTTATTTATTAATAGCTATTAAGTTAGTAATCTATCTAGAAATAATTATATATATATATAATAGAGTACTTAGTAATTTCTTTAAGTATTTAGAGCTAAATATCTCCTACTTAGTACTAATTACCTTATCTTAGTATCTGAGTATATTATATAACCTATACCTAACTTAGCCTAGGGCCAGCCTATAACCAGGGTGTAATATATAGTTATAAGAGGAAGCTATCTAAAGTAGAGCTTAATAAACTAGAGGACCTCTATAATAAGGAAAGCTTTAAGGTAAAGTAGCTACCTTAGGCTAGTACTATAGCTAAAGCTAGTATTAATATAGATACCTCTGATTATATAATTAGTTAGATAGTAGTTATATAGAGTCTTTATAAGTAGCTTACTATAGAGATTACTTATAAGAGTAAAGTAGAAAGTAATTACTAGGTTATATATACTAAGAAAGCCCTCTCTTTTAGGCCTAAGTAAGAGAACTAGTATAATATATTATTCTTAGATAAGTACTACTTTAGCTATAGAGACCCGGGTAGGACCTAGGTTACTAGGAAGAGTAGTATCTAAATTAAATCTTTAAATCTTTAAGAGTAAAAGTAGCTTAAAGAGGGTAAAAAGAAATAGATATATTACTAGATAGCTATAGGTTATAATTTTAAGAGCTCTTTAATCTGGTATAATACTAGTAACTATAATAGTAAGATAACCTAAGCTATATATAAAAAGGAGATATTAGAGCTATATATTAAGAGATAGATAATAGAGGGCTATAAGTTTATCTTAGAAGAAGATAGTAATAGTAGCTATAGGCTGGATAAATCTAACCCTATATAGGTCTGAAAGGAAAAGTATAATTTTAAGTACTATTTTAATTACCCTTTAAGTCTAGATCTCTCTCTAATTAAGAACTACTAGTATATACTAAAGGAATATATATAAAAATATATATATTAGGATAATAAAACCTTTAAGGAGCTAGCTAAAGAGGGCTAGAAGGAGCTATTATAAGAGATAATAAATAGGTAGATAGATTTAATACTGAAGAGGCTATAGTATATAATTAATATAAAGGGAAAAATAACTGGTTAGTAGAGAGTAAAATAGCTATCTGAATTTACTAGTAAATTAGCTATTGTATTGGATAAGGGGTGTGTATGTAGGTGTGAGCGATTTTGGAGTCTCATCCTTTTTATAACCCGGTTGGGTGGTTAATCCGCAACCAGTGACATCTTGATAACCAAGCAGCGTATAGACCAGGGTCAAGGTTAATATTATTCAGCATGATCGTCTCGCTCAGGTATATAACCATGATCCGCTTCATCCGAAAACAGAATAACAAACAAAACCATCTTACTCCGAACTGACGCATTTCCATTTACGAAATCGCAGCTAGAACAACCAACCAAGTCTCTAATAATACATCATATACAGCAGACATGGCGGACCTTGGCACCATTAGGAGCGCCATCGAGGCCACTATGCGGGACTTCTTCCTCTCATACGAAGACGGCTCTGCCGCCAACAGCACCAGCCCAATGAGCCGCACCTTGACACCGGACTGCACTCGTACAGTGCTGCCAGAATCCTTTTTCAGAACCCGTGGCCTTGGCAATGTCTTCAACAACGCAGAGTACGAACAAATCCTCGTTGGTGACATCACGGTCGCTCGAATGAAGCGACACACCATGTCCAATGTGGTCATTGACTCGGAGAGCCGAAAGTCGGCAGCCACGAGCGTCTTGGATCTCGAATTCAAGGACGGCGACGCAACGGCGATGGAACTAACATGGACTTTTGACTTCAATGAGGACGGGTCAGCTATCAAGAGAGTCGTTGAGTTTGTGGATCCAGTTGCGCTTCTCAAGCTGTTGGAAAAGCGCAAAGCGGTTGGAGTTTGAATCTAGCAAAGAGAACACAGGTATCAACTCTCGAGGACGCAGCTTTTTTCTCTAATTCTTAAATCATATTGGACTGAAAGCCTTTCCATAACTGAAGGTATATCCGCCTGCATGCTGGCCGTACGCGTGAATAACCTTTTGCCCGCCAACTGTTGCGGCTTCGACTCTTACTCCACCGTCCTTGCGAATCTTGCAGGATACCCAAGTGGCATGATCTGGTACCAAGCCGGCCTTCTTGAGATCGGTCGAAGGTAACACGTCGGGTTGTTTCTCATGTGCGCGGTCAAGGATTTGGGAAAATGAGTGTTAGTGCTCTCATATAGCCACAAAACGCTTCAACTAGCTTACCATTTGCCTCTTATCATCATAAGCATTGATATCGTCAGACCCGGGCTTGTTGGCGCCTCCGAAATACACCTCGCCATCCAAATGGGAGAAGGCCGTGGTGTAATAGTTATCTCCTCGTCCGTAGCCCTCGCGGTATGTCGGGTACTTGAAAATGGCGGACTGGAGACGAATGGGTTGGACCTTTGAGTGCTTGATATCGGCAAGTGTTCTGGCGTCCAGACCGGCAGCGTTGATGAGGATATAAGGGCCTAACCCTTCCAGATCCTTCAGCGATCCACAACAGACTCGCTTAAACTGCACACCTGCTGCTCGAACCTGCCTCACATTCACGGCAGAAAGATGGGCGGTGTAATCACGACGGTCTCATACGTCATGCCGGATTTTGACGCCTCAGGCATATCGCTCTTAAGGTAGACAGCCACCGGAAGCCTGTCACTTTGCCCTGATACCAGACTTGGTCAGGAGAACCCGTGTCCATGATCTCCCGCATTCGAATCTTTCAAACGCTGGATTCTAGATGTCGCTCGGCCAGCTGGCGAAGGCCAACCAACCCGTCTAAGTGCAACTTCTGCACATACGCGGCTGTATCATGGGTACCGAGCCAGCACGTCGCTGCCCAGGGACTTGCCCAGGGACTTGCCCAATTCTTGCTCTGGGCATCTCCAGGGAGGTGCTGACCCAGATCGTGGTCTGGCAGTCTTTGGGCAATTGACTGGCAATCGCCATGTTCTGGAGGTTTGGGGCTTAAGGGGCTGTCTAGATTTGTAGCGCCTTCTTCAGCCCGTTTTGGCGACCTGAGCTGCCAAAAGCGTGCAAATTTACCGCATCTACGACCACAACACCACATGAGTTCGGAATTGCATGCACTCAAGGAAGGAATATCGCATTTAAATTATCTATGACTTGGCTTACTTTTCTTACAAACTACTGGCCTTGAATGTACTCTTGGAGTTGATGTAAATGGGCGAGGTGTCTCCACAAATATATGTGGATACATATGCGGGAGGCACACCAAGTTTTCAAAAACCGAGCGTTCGAGAGCAAAATGTTGAGGTTCGGTGGTATAGGGTAGGTCAAGATTCTACTGCTTGCCCTAGTAACACCACCAGCCGAAGGCTCCAGCCATAAGTAGAGTTCCTTAATTCTAGCCTCGATATACGCTCTTCTTCCTTAATCTAGTTAATTCACCTCAAATCTTGCTATCTCTCAAATCCTCATTTAAGACCAAAATCCAACACTATCATTGCCATGGTTTAGCAGACTCGAGGTATCGTTCACCCCGGTAAGATCCGTTGAATCGGCTCAACCATATTTGGTCGCTTGTTGGTATGTGGACTTACAAAAGGGTTGAGTATCGGTAAATTGCGAGTTACGTGTTTTCTTCTCGTGATCATGGTGGCAACTTTGTTTTAGGAATCCATTGGGAATCAAATGGTCTTTTAAATCATTGTGCCGATTTACTATGCCTATGGAGTACATACTTTCTCACGGATTATGCTCTATTTCGTCCCCAATACTTGAAATCATGATCTACTCTTGAACTGTTTCAAAGCTGATCTCGAGCCCATGTCCCAAGGGACTAGTTAGATAAGCATCAATCAAAGTCAGGTCTCCATGGTCTTGTATCGTCGTGGTGAAAATTACTTAAACACTTCTCGCATTGTGCTTCATCGCTGCGAGGATAAGTCAGTCATCGGCCATACAAAGGTGAGAAGCTCAGTGCAACTTACAAAAACATGCGAAGTTGCTCTCTATCCCGCTGCCAAGGGCCTAAAAGTAGCGGCATCTCGCTCAGCTGCACCTTGCTTGCATTGATCCACTAGTTCGGGGAAGATCTCAGTGGTTCATTGAAGAGCGTAAGTGTAGCATTGGCTGGGATGTTGTCGTGGCCTTCTAGTCTGCAGTGTCTGGGCACGAGCCCGGGCTGGCCTCCGAGGACAAATGAGTATAGTCCATGGACTGCCTCCCGTTGGGCCAGTAGGGACATTCATCCGCGTCCATGGGAGACTCGCCAGTCGCCCGGGGGAACTTCAAGAGGGGTTCGAGCTCCTCTCCGAGCTTCTTCTGGGGCTCGTGGTGGGCATACGCAACAATATTCCCGCTGGTATCATGCGCGGGCGAATTGTCCGTAAACATGTCGCATAGGATCCCGAAGCGGCTGCCATAGCTCTCTTCCTTGTCACTTATCTCCTTAACTTTGAGCGGGCCCGGGGCGGTAAGGGCACTGAGGACGGGCGACTTGAAGGGGATGTTGGCGGTGATAGGCTTGCGTGTGAAGGGATTGTATGGGCAGTAGGCTGCGTCATCCTCGAAGGTGAAGAGATTGTCGGCACTGCAGGATCCATGGTGTGAGCGGGCTATCGGTGGAAGGGATGGGGAACCATACGTACCCGTAGATGGGATAACCTGGAATATACCCATATTTGGGAACACGTGCATTGGGATCGCGCAGATACAAAGGCTTGAACGCTTCCTCAATCCCACCGACGCTTAAAAGTCTCGGAGTCAAGCGCAGAACCACGCCTTTGGCCAGGTGATTCTGGTGAAGAATGCGGCTTTCATCGTAGAAGTACTTGACACACCAGAACCAGAAGGGAGCGATGTGGCATGACCAATGAGGCGCCCGGTAATTGCTCAAGTTAGATACAAAGGCAGGGAAGATGATGAACTTGTAGAAGAGTAGGACAGCGCATAGTGAAATGCCCACGATGAGGGCGGTTGGTGAGAGAAGCATCACCATGAAGGCGGTTAGAGAGAGAATCATGGCGAGAAGAATTGCGAAGCAGCGTGCTACTTGACAAAACCAAGACGTTGGATGGGCTCTCGCGATGATAAGGTAGTAGACTGGATGGATTCCAGCCTCGATGATATGTAGGTAGTTTCTGAGGGTTTTCACGCTCGAATGGTGTGCGTTTGTTGGTGTTGAGGGGAGAATGATGGAGCTTCACACTGTGCGGCTACTCACCAAAATACCGGCCTCTACGCGGGTGAGGGGCGTTTTCAAACAGTGGTCTAACAGTGGTCTAGAAGGTATTGGAAGCCTGATATGTAAGGTACAAAATACAGCGCCTTCGGGGTGACGCGTATGTACCTACCTACATACCTAGGTATATACCGGTGTTTAGTAACCTAACGCTCCTTCCTCAACTGAAAGTATTCCTTCCTTTACAAGATATTCTCTGACAGTCTGAAGACATCCTTACAGCAGAGCCACAGCAGAGTTACAGCAGGAACAGACTTACAAGCAAGTACTATATTCAAGTGATACGAGCATACCTACATATGCTCGTGTTGAAAAACACCTCTGTCTGAAAACCCCCTGATACAGGTAGATAAAATAGGCATCTCCTGAGGGGCTAGTCAAAACGCCTAAAGTGGAAGGCACCCAGCCACGTCATCAACAGAGATCGACCCCGTCCGATCAGAGAAGGCTGCTTGGAAAATTGTTCGTTGTGCACTAGGTCCCTAGCCAAGATTTACGAGTTACCTCATCAGTTTACATACTGGCTAGGCAATTCTGCCACAAGAGCGTTGCCGGACTTCTACGCTGGCTGTTAGGTGGAGGAAGCTTGGGGAAATAGCTCAGTAGCGTGCCAGTCGGGCTATTTATGATTAAGACGGGTAAACAAACGGTTGGTTTCTTCCCCCAATCCTGGCTTATCACAGTCAGTAAAGTGTGGCTTCCGATTGAGGTTAAACAACATGGCACAACACGCCCTAACGATGGGGCTCTTCGGACTCTCAAAAGAAGATCGCCGTAATTGATGGTACTGGTGAGCGACGAAATGTCCTTTCCTGTCCCTGGATGTAGGATTGGAGGAGTAACTGACCAACAGGCCACATACAAGGAAAGCTTGGAGGTTTCGTCGCATTCTCACTCCATGATAGCCCCTTGTTCCATGGCCGTGTCGCCACTCGAGATGCGTTCGGTCCTAGAGCATACAGAATAGCAAACCTTTAAACTCATCATTCGGGGTGATTCTATTCCGATCAAGATAGTTTCCTTTTAGAGGCGGGGGAGGTGATTTGAGTACCAGCGAGGAGGTGATTTAAGTACCAGAGAGGTGGTAATGTCACATCACTTGAAATAGAGAAATTCACCTCAACTAAAGGGGGAGTGGTGCGCTGTGAGTCTATCCAACTAATCCTCCTATTTGAGATCATTTCCCATCTAGTCGACTTATTTTGAGCCACATGTGGCGTTGATCGAGACATATATAAATTTAGAATCCGTTGCATAGTGCTCAGTGGCGTTGGTAAGATCCTGCCTTGAGTCTTTAAAACATGGGAGGGATTGAGCAGTGTGGCAACAACAACCAGAGGCGAGCTGAAGACTTGTGGGTTGAGCGGTCCATGTCTCATCTCATCCAAGAAGGAGCCGCGCGGTTCTCCTATACCTTCATGTCTCGTGGAACGTGTAAGAAACAATTAGGCGAACTGACAGAGCTCTCGGTGCCGTTAAAACCCATTTAAGACCGGCTCGCTTACTGCCACATAGTTGATTCGCCTAGAGAAGAGTCCGGAAGTTACTTATCAGAGTTAGATCTTGCAAAGTCCTGTTCCACTTCTGGACAAAGCAAAAGTACCAAGAATACGCCCGCGAGGGTGACAGAATATTACAGCCAAATAAAAGGCATAGAGAAGGTACAGTGTAATGTTAAGCCCCTGTGGCTGATGCTAATTTAGACGAATTAGGAAGGTTGGCGCGCGTTTAGCACTCTCGACGATCGTAGGGGTAGGGAGGGGGCAAAGGGACCGAGTTGGGTGAACACTTCCCGTGAGCTGTCCTTTACTCGCCTGACGCGCCTATGGTCGTCCTCTCCCGCTTGCCACTTATTGGGACTTCGGTCTTTGATACAGAGTAGGTGGCTGACAGGCTGCCGTTGGGCAGATTAGCCTGTGTCCATAATTATACGCGAATAGGCACCATGAAGGGGGAATCTCCACTGAGACCAGGGATGGATGCGATTGGAAGACAGGGATCGGGGTTCCAAGTTGGCTTCCGGCCGAATAGTTTACAGCTATATCAACCGCATGTGTCTGGACTTTAGATTGGAGGCTGCTAGAATAACGGTAAGGTGTACGTGGGCAGGTGAAGACAGAATCTTTCGACCCTCATACGACCAACAACGACCTTGCGTGACGAGCAAACCTGAACTAGGTCAGGATCTTTGGTATTCCAGCCCTACTTTGAGTTGTGAAAAGGCGGGCAGTCAAATCCCTGCTAGCCCGGCAGTGCCGTGTGAGTCCCACCCTCTTGGACAGGGGAGCGAAGAGGGCCAGCTACAAGTCTCCGAGAAGTGATATTGATCCAGTATTGAACTAGTGATATATGCCCGACGAACAAGGTTATTCTGTTGGTGGTTCTTCATATAAACACCTGTCCAGACGTTCATTTATACATAGGACCAAAGTACGTTGCTGAGACGACAGGTGAAGCAAGGATATAAGACTCTCAACGACTTCAACTCAAAATGCCTGGCGTTCCTACATCTAGAGCATGCCAGCGGTGCAAAGCTAGAAGAATAAAGGTATAGAACCTCGGGTTTCCCCTCTGATTCACTTAGCACCTCTACTTATTCAATATTGAAACCGACGCTGACATTGGTCATTGATTGGCATAGTGTGATCAGAACTGGCCCACCTGTACACCTTGCAAGCTCAAGCATTTTGAGTGCCCGGGAGCTTCGTCCCTCATAAAATTCATTGATAGTGGTCCACAAAGCCATAGTCGGGCTTCATCTCGCATGCCTTCTCCAACTCACAGCAGCGCATCCGGTGGCTGCAGCCCTCCAGGGAAAGACGAAGGGCCAATGCCGTCTGAGCAGGGGAGTCACACCGTCATGCCTCCGTCCTCTCCTTCTGTTCCTCGAAACAAGCCGACCACTGTTGCAGACCGCGTTGCCAGCCGTTTAGTCGCGCAGTTAGAGTCGTGTCCAGAATTAGTCAAGGTGTTCCAGATGGGGTATCTCAAGTATCTCCCCCCCTTGTTGTCACGGAGCCCAAGTCTTCGCGACACAGTGTCACTGTTCTGCACCGCTTGGGCAGGATATCGCCGGCGGCAGCCGGCAGGAGACTTCATGTCTATGGAGGCGTATGGCAAGGCCTTGCGAAGTTTGCGCCGATGCCTGGATGGCGATAATACATGTAGTATGGAGACACTGGCAGCCATCACGCTTCTTGAGCGATCAGAGGCTCTTTTTGACCGAGAGAGAAAACCGTTCCAGATATCCCACACTGAAGGGATTCTAGGGTTGATTCAACGCCACGGCCCGCCGAACCGGGAGGACAAACTACATTCGGGTCTCATATTCGATAATATGGCAGGCTTGGTACGTTGGGAGACGAAGAATACACACCAAACAGAGTCACTAGACGACTAACAAGTGGTATAGATCACCTACTGGTTGGCAAATGGTGGGCACAACTTTCTAGTTGACTCTCCGTGGAGAGAAGCAATAGAGGATACAGCAGCCGAGTTCCTAGAACCAGGAATCAGGCAATCCGCCATGCCGGCAGTCAGCTTCACAAGCACACTGTATGCGCGGTGGCCTCGATATCTCAGAGGCGCACAAACTATCTACACCGATCCCATACCCAGTAAGGAGCTTCAACTATTTACAGTGGCATTCATCGATGAACTGAGCGAAGCCGAGGTTGAGGCCCGCTTCATATTCGGGGACGTCATGTCCAAGGCCTTCGAAGTAGGAGAGATTCGAGAACTACCAGACGCGGCGGCTATTTCAGGCCGTAGTTATCATTTAACGGCCGTCTTCTTCGGACAATCTCTCTTGGAGCTACTGTGGTTACGGCTGGCTCTGCTCCGGATGCTCTATGAACTGATGGTTCTCAGAAACCCAGCTCAGGCGCAGGTATATGGGGCGGAGTACCGGGCATTGTGCCTCGAAACATGGAAGTTTATTCCATTTGTGTATGGTCTGGATCCCCTGATTGCAACGTGGTCACTTACACCGTTCACACTGGCATTTGAAGGGGCAGAGGGGTTCGAGAGAGAGTACCTCCTGAAGATGGTCATCGAGGCGGATAGCTACAGGCAAAGCTTCCCTCGCAATCATGGGCTTCTAGCATCGACCTTGGTGCATCACGCGATGATTCTGACAGGTAGGTTGCCATGGCCCTAAATTAATAGGCTACAGGGGTCGCACGGGAGGTCTCACCCACGGAGATGAGGGTGCGTAATACGTTTCTTGCTGGCATGGAGACAACAGAGAAACAGATACCAAGTCACAAAAATACTACTGAAGGATGGGGCAACGGGAAATCAGCGTTCGTTCTTCTTCAATCAATTACTCGTTGAACTCTGAAAAGTCGGCATAAACCAGCGTGTGCTCAACTAACACAGCCCATGAGAGTTCTGGCTGTGATATCGTAGGATGTACCAAAGGAACTTCGGGGATAGGTGGATACGGGAAGAGGACTTCGGTAACCCAGCAAACTACAGGTGGTTGGCAGAGCTTTATCCGAAGTGGGCGAGGTATTCCTCGAGATGCAGCAATAGAACCAAAGTTCCTGCATGGCTTCAGCTCAAAGTAGGGGCAGACAGGCCCGTTCGAAGGCACATCAGGCTGGAGTTTGAGTTGAGGCTGGAAGTGAGGGCGCGAGCCACCGCCAGCTTGGGGGCAGGAGCGGAGCGCGTGGTGCATGTAGGGACCTCCAACGGATTCTACCTATGGCTAGGTAGGTACCTAGATTTAGGGACTTTGACCGCTAGAGCTTAGTGGAGGCTCCCGCTGTATTATGCGCCTTAACAGCGCCATGGTGCTGGAGCTTAGCTGCCGCTCGTCTGAAACCATGCAAGCGATTCGATTCAGCGGGTTTCCGCAAGTCCACAGGCAGCACAGGTCATTCATGTTGGCCCACCCAAGCCCACCCTCCTGCATCAACCAACAGCCCACGGCACAGTGGATTCGACCAACAAACGAGAGCGAAGAGCAAATCGAACCGCGTACACCGATCCATGCAATCTGACACACACGTACATACGCCGTAGCAGGGCATCAGCCGATCCGCCAAGCATACAACGGGACAGGAGTGGGATGTTCACATCCATAAGAGCGAAGGCAACTGACGCGCAGATGCATGCCGTCATCACCACGGTAGTTCTCATTCAATCAATTGTATCGCAAGATAGACAAGGAGAACATTGGCGACGGACCATACAAACCCCCCTGGAACCCGGGATTCAAAGAAGACGCCATTTCCCCGCGCCGTTGACCGACTGAGACATCGTCCGATCAAAGCATGCCACCATGATTTGAAAGCGTTAGGAGGCGGCCGCCGTTGCCACATCCGTTTCCTCGCCAAAAGCCCGTCAAAGTCAATATGCCCCCTGGGAATCGCAGTCTCAACCCGCTCTTCGACGCAAAGGGTTCTGTCCAGCAGCCTTGCGAAGGCCGATCACCCTCCCAGTCGGTACCTCTCCTCATACATACACCACTGTTATCTTCTGCATAAGGCCAACGTTACCTTGCACAGTCGCGGCCTCAGAGAGGCGGCCGTCTCTACATGCTTGCACCCCATGCCGCTTACTCTGAAACTGAGCCTTTGTTCCCCCCTGCATCAGCGACCACATGTCTTACACCTCTGCGCACTCTACATCCCGCCTGATGGTCTGACTGCAGCCGCAGACACACTAGGAAGCTGCTCTCTAATCTCCGTCCTACACCATTCATGCTACAGTGGCCGTCAACGCTCTTGGGAGCAGCTAAAATCACATGAGAATGTGAGTACCAGAGATCTGTAGTTTGGCAGAAGCACCGTTATTACTGCTGTATTTTGGCAGACACGTGCTCTATGATTCACACCAACTAACATAAAGATTTACTGGATGAAACTGGCTATTGGATACCTTCGCAACAATATCTAATTGTAAAAAAGCTCCAAGTCACATCAATCAGTCATCACACAATATGGCAAGAGAGTTATTCAAGTCACAAAGACTTCGATCAACGCAAGTCAGTTGAGAAGCATCCAACACAACTTAGCTCTTACTCTGGGGGAGAGAGGCTTCTTGATGACCTCGGGGTCGAAAAGACGACCATCACGGGGCAGGGGCTGCATTAGTTTTCAAAGTCATGGCAAACGGCGATGATGACACTGGTTACCTTGGCGTAAAACCACGTATCAAGATTGGTGAAACGGACGCCACAAGAAGCTATCTCCAGAGCACACCGCGAGCTGGGGGACCTCTTAGAAGCAACCTTTACTAGTCGCTTATTCATCAATCATCTCCATCACCTACCACCGTACTGGCCGCAGTAATCCCTTCAAAGATGACTCGATGACAGTCCTACTATGGATATAACTTACACCCACCAACTTCAAAGCCCGTCCAAATAATACATGATTCAAGAAGGTTATTGTTCCATATGTCAGCTCATCAGGAGTAGCAACGGCTAGACCCTCCTGCTTCTGGAACTTTACCAAAAGTCCATCTTGAGCACTCGGTATATTTCCAAACAAGGAAATCTGGCAGTTGCCGGTAAGTCTACTGACGTATCTTCGGCCACTCCTTTTTCTCATTTTGATTTAGGTTGGTTCTCCGGTCCATGTGCCCTTGTCTAGCTGAGACTCACAGCCTGAAACGGAACCTCTGGAATCGAACATATAGCCTGGTCTGATGATCTAAAACAGTGCTTAACCAGATAAGCAAGCCCAACAAAGTGATCGAGACACACCAATCACCAATTATTACCTATGTCAGTGGCGCAGATCCTCCGCAGGCATCGGTGCAGTCGTGTCTATTACCTCAAGACCCAGTTGACAAGCGCATGATCAGTCTCAGACTTCCATGGTGCCCGCCTTAGATCCATCGCTTGCCGGTCGCGCTAGCATTTGATCTCAGTCAAGGCGACGTCCTGAGAATGGCTGGTAAACTACCACCAGATCCACTAGACGACTATCTAAATTCTTATTGCGGGCTAATACAAGGATCTACCACGAAGGAGCATACTAAAATATCTCTACCCAGACCATCGCAAAGGGGAGGCCCGCTTCTGAGAGGATGAAAGTTCAGAATTAGTATAACAGGGGGATTAGACCATTCAACTTCCCAGCTAACTGATTCTCTATTCCTAAACAGACCAGAGACGAGAGTCGCTGGCTGTCTGGCCGCGACAGCATTATCAACGCTACTTTCTTCAGGTTCAGCAGCCGTCCTTATTTTTGTCAGCGAAGAAGAAGAAGCACTTTGGCCTATCTTGTTATGCTATTAGCAGCGGTTGGAAGCGACAGCCATGTGCCTGAACACTCACCTCCAGGGCTGAAATGTCGCCTATTCGGTCCCATGCCCCGGTCGATTGTCTGATGTCAAGGTAGGAAGGGAATATTTCTTTGGTGTTACGCGTAAGTACTCCTGGAACAAAGTCTACGACCCCTCTAAATCAGAAAGACCTACATTTTGCTAATATGATAGCAGCGACATGTACAACCATGAGCGTGGTGTTTCTCCACGGTGTTGGAGTGATGTCGCAGCTCTGTCAATCAATTCACTATCGTGAAACGCGCGCTACATCGAATTCGATATGACGGAGTTTGGAGGGCAATTTTAGATCACTGACAATCCATTGTCTATGAACACGCAAGCCGGAAGTGCCCGGCTCACCGCACTTCACTGCTGTTCTATGCGTCAAACGGTCCTTGATGACGAGTTGATCCTTGTCATAAAATGTGATATGAAAATGATATTGACAAGTCAACTCATTTTAGGCAGTCTAACGTCACAATAAAAGCTAATTACTTGAACGTAATTCCCTCATATGAATACGGCACAGACTCATGCTTGACGTCAACGCACAGGTTCTTCGGCAGCTCCAGAGCATGCTCTGGCTGGGGATCGAAATACTGGTTCCTCTGCATCCGACGCCAGCAGCGCTTTGGTCGAAGAAGGATGCCTACAGCACGCAGTAACCTAGGCCAAATCAAATAAGGGGGGCTTGTCTAATCAGAAACAACTCGAGTTGGATAGCCATTTCCTTGTCATATTGCCTACTGCAAGGTTACGTGTGCCATTGCCTACGGCTGAGACTGGTCTCCACTCCCTTCAGAAGGAGTTATTGATGCATGTCTCACATCTTCAGCTGGCTGAGATAATGGGCCGCATCAATCTCACCGAAGCTGCATGTTGGTTGGTCTGACTGCTCTTCAGCTCGTCATAAAACATGCAATCCCCGCACCTCGCAAGGCTTTCCATGTTTTGTCTCTCTCAACAACCATCCCACCGCCAAAAAGCCGATAATTTCTGCCCTACCGTTGCCAGCCAACTGTGCCTGATAGTCCTGCCTTTGTGCCCAACCAAGGCCCGTGTCACATTGACTTCTTCTATTTGAGCCGACCTCTCCGCGATCCCGTCGCAGTCTCTTCTTCATTCTCTAATTTCTTTGTCCGGTCGCAGTGCTCAACTTCATCTATCTTTCCAACCCAGAACACTACTTCTTTCCTGTCTCATTGCCATCATGACCAAAACAGGAGGTGCCAATATCCTCGAGGCTGAGTTTCTCTTCCTCACGATCATGGATGCATTGTCTGCCGATGCAGTCTATGAAGATACCTTCGAGAAAAACCAGCTCGACCTAATGAAAATCCGCTTCATGCGGTGCTGCCGCCTTCTGGGGCTCTCCCGTCTTGAGGCGCCATACGTCCAGGTACCCCTGAGCGATGCAGACTCGGTCAAGGCCTCTCAACGAGTGTCCGAATTGAAGACAGCCCTCGATCAGAGCGGCACCTTTGTCCCTGCCAACAACAGGGAAGCCCATGTCGACTCCGACCCCGACTCTCTCAGAGGGTGGCTGGTCAACTTCCAGCGCAGCTATCGATGGAAATTCAATGTCGAGCATACGTATCCGGTCTTGAAGTGGGTGCCAAAAGATGACGACCACATTCAGACGATGCGCAGCAGCTTTAATGATTGCATCATTGTTCTTGAGAAGCTCGTTGGACATGACATTATATCTCTCGCCAGGCAGGACGCCATTGAGTTCGTCAAAGCACCGTCCCAGGCTAGCCTGATGGAGGCTGTAAAGACCACTGATCTCATGCTATTCAGCTTCTTGCAGGAGGAGCAGATGAAGCCGCAGCAGAAGAAGGAGGTGGATAGCCACGAGGGGCAGCATGACCCGGAGCAGCGCCAGGAACTCCTAAAGCGAGAGGCGGGCAAACTGCGGAGCAAGCTGGCCGGAATACGGTCCGAGCAGTCCAAGAGGAATCACGCCTATTCTTTGGCCCAGACCGAGCTGAGGATAAACCTGGGTACGAACAATCGAGATTATAATCATTTTGTGGCCGGGCTAAAGAGAGATCAAGCTGCGACCGATCGGAACTACCGTCAGGGGCAGGCCCGCCTACAAAGACAACAAATCACGAGTGACGGGGCGCTCACCGAACAGGAGGAGAGACTACGGACCGAGCTGGCACGAAGAGATCAGGAGCATGTTCTACAGATGACCGCGCTACAGACTGCCTTTGAACAGCAAGAGGCCGACCTGCAGAGCAAGCTTGCCCAACAAAAGTCAGAGCTACAGAAAGAGCCTGGCCAGCGAAAGCCATACCTGCGCATGCTCGATGCAGATCGGCTCTACACCGAGAAGATCATGGAGCTGCGAGCGCAGTATCTCCAGGAAACGCAAGGGCTGCGGGAACAGCAGGTCATGATGACACAGGAATATTTCAGGGAGATGCTCGAGCTGCAGAACCAGCATGCCGAGCGGGAGGACGCACAGTTGAAGAGGCAGTTTATCCTGCGGCAGCAGGAACATTCTCGGCGGCTAGCCGCCTGGCAGAAGAAGCATGCCCTGCGGCAGTACGAGCTGGAGCAGGTGGCGGTCAAACGAGACCTGGATCGTTCCCAATGGCACACGGCCAAGCAGCTGGAGCTGGAGAAGCTGGAGAGTCAACTGCAGCGAATTCGCGAGCAGATGACGCCAGAGACGAGGCGAGAGATGGAGAATCGAGCCAGCGGTTCCCAGGATCCCAACTCCATCCCCATCTACATATCGATCGCAGATATGAAGGCCAAAAAGGCTGCCAAGGCTGCCGCGGCTGCCGAAGCCAGCAGGGCCGGTGCGGCCGGTGCACCAAATACATCGAGCACAACCAGTTCACTCACCAACCCTCAGAGCCCACCCAACGCACCTAGGGGGCCGAGGGGACATGTAGCTCCTGTTGGTCCTAGGGGCCCTAGCACACCTACACCCCACCCACAGGGTAAGTCTCGCTCTTTTCTCTCTGGCAACGTAATAGCTGATAACATCGCTGCAGCGGACGACTCGACCACCCTCGTTGGGAATGATCAGTCTCGTCTTGTGATCCGTAATCTTGTCATCGACGATTCAAAGATCATATCAAAGCCTAACGCTTGAAGGCGAGAAGGGGATCTGTAATCGAAGCCGGCATCCGGACCTACGCGTTCTCAGACACGTTTGTGAGAAGTCGTGCTGTCTCTGGACTTTCTCTTTCATGCTATTTCATTATTCATGATTTTATCTCTCATTTGTCTTTCTCTGTCATTGTTGTGCGCCCGTAATAGCAACTTCTGCCTCCTTTACTATAGGAGAGGCATCTAGTTAGGGTTAGATTTCAGGACATCTCGACGACAATCAATGCCTTTCTTGTTTGCGTTACCTTGCTTACCGTAAGAATGATTTCCACTTGCCCAGTAATAACCCCTTTGTAGACACAAGTCCCCCTCACTGTGTTGTATTTCATTGTGTAAAGGTTCAGAAGCTTTTTTTATTAAGGCTAACCTCTTCCAAACCCTGCTTTCCTCACATCTTCTCCTCCTTTCTTGTCAGTGCCACCGGTATGGACCGAGAACTGGCTTGATAGAAGACGAGTGTGAATACAGCTAAAAAGAGCGGCTTCAATAGTCATTTGACGCGCAACTCGTCCTGACGGCAAGTGAGTTATCGGTATAAAGGCTTAAAGAATTATCTGCCGTATGAATGCAGTCGAAGCTTCATTAACTCACCTTTCGTATTCATTGTATTGAGTTTATTGGGATCTGATATCTTCTTTCTTTGAACGTTCGATCTAATCTCCTCCGGCAAACACAAGTCCTCGGACGGTCGTTGGAGTGTGTCATATCACCTCGTGCGAAGACCAATTCAGCTGATCAGTGAGATGAGAGGTTTCTAAATTTGCTAGAGAAAGCGGCTTATCTACAGATTAAAACTAGCTGAGTACATTTCGACCGACCCTTCAGTAAAAGGGTCCAAACTGATTCCCATAGAAGTCCGGGCCCATCTGCCCCTGAGAATAAGTAATGTCCGGCAACGCCTGCCAGTCAGACCCCAAGACGTCGAAAGCACTCTCCAGGCTTTGATCCGCCTCCACCTCCACCTCCGTCTCCTCCGCCTGGTGTGATGACCCAGTCGATTCGGCCGCTTGGCTGCTGGCTGTGCCAAGAGCCTCCTGGAGACGTCGGACGAACTCGGGCGTCTCCAACACCGTGCCAGCCTGAGCGTGAACCCGCTGGCGGACGTCCCACGCCCTGGCCACGAGTTTCGCTTGCTGGGCAAAGGGCCGCTGAGTGAGGTCGAAGAGCTGATCTTCATAGGTGTACACGGTCTCCACGAACCCCCAGCCGCGGTCCGTGAGAATGCCGATGGGGCGCTGGCACAGCTGCGCGACGAGGAATGCCAGGACGTCGAGGCGGAAGTGATGCTTGACGAACCAGACGAACCCCGTCCGGATCGAGACCTCGTATATGTTCCGCAAGGTGTCGCCGGCTATCATCACCGTCTTGAACAAGTTGTCCTTCTTGTTGAAGATCTCTGTGCCCCATTCTGGCTGCTGTCTCATGGGGATCGTCATCTCCCGCATCTTTTCGACCACGATTGGGCGCAGAGCCAGGGAGAAAACGTGTATGTTGCCGGCGTACGCATCAATATACCGCTCCTCTAACTCGTTGAGGGACCTCTCGAGCATTTCGACGAGTTGTTTATTCCGCTGCGTCAGGGGGAGAAGCAAGAGGTCGTCATCATCCCACGGGTTGGTGGATTCGGATTCGTAGAGGGACTCAGCGTCGGTCAAAAACTTGGCGACGTGGTAGCTGTAAAGGCAGAATCCCATCTCGGTAGGTCCCTCTCTGGGATAGATGGGCTCCGAGGAGCCGGGGAAAAGGTCGGCGTCGTTGACGTTCTGCGGCATCTTGGTGTCCCAGTTCTTGAGGAGCATTGAGTGGCTCAAACCAGAGACGAGGGCGTTCTTGCTGTCCTGCAACACTATCTGCCACCATATCCGCCGGCGCATCTCTGTCTCATAAGGGGTCAGGCCCAGTGTCTCTCCATCGCGGTGGTAGCCCATCTTTTGTGCGAGACGAACTATAAGTCCGCCGAGAATCCAAGTTGCGTGGCTATTATAGGTGTTTTCAAGCGAGAACTAGATGTGAAGTTTATTAACGAGGTGCATCATTCCAGTCCGAAGAAGAAGGCCCTCTTACAAAATATAGTAACAAGGTTTGAAGCACCACCATGTCGTAGTTATTGAGGAAATCAAGCTTAGCAAGCGCAGTCTTTGTGCCAACGTGAAGTCTTCTGAGGTAATCTTGTCGGGAACTACCCAGAATTTCCAACGCTTCGTCCTTGGCCAACGAAAGTACGGCCATGGCAAAAATAGCAAATAAAAGTGCTTGGCAGCGCAAAGGTATGCTGTTAAAATCTGTTGACGCCGCCATGACCTGCGACTGCACCGTGGGAACGTGAACGACCTTGACAATGGGGTTTACCCGGGCGACGAATATCTGCCATAGCTTGAAGATATGGATTGGCTCTGGCCGGAGATCCTCGATCCTCCGATTGGGGAAGGCATCCGAGAAGAGTGCATCATTGGCCGATGACTCGGACCCGAAGGCGCTGCTATTGCCGGGCTCATCGGTCTCGATAAGCTCCTTAATGGCGTGAATCTAATGGCAAACCGTCAATTGGGCTTGAAACACAACCTTTAGAGTCAGGCGGGCCTCTCACTTCCTCATGAATATTGACCCAAGCCTGGCTATCCATGAACTGGACCTGGCCCTTGTCATTGACCATCTTGCCGCCTGTTGACTTTGGTTTGGCGCGCGCCTGCGACTCTTCGACCGAGACAGGCTCCAGTGCGCTTTCGTCCGTCCCTCTCGGCTGGGGCGATTGAGTCATTGGAGAGTTTGTCGAGCTTGTCCCTTGCTGCTGCTGCTTTAGGAGCTCCTCGCACCGGGCAAGGCGCTCCAGGAGCTCTTGCTGAGGGCGCCGCCGGGTACGAGTTGTTATTCGCGTGCCCTCGATGCACTCGACTTGCGCCTGTTGCGAAATGGTCAGTCCGGCATATGACGAAGGCTGCGCATCGATCAAGGGGAGGCGCCCCGATGAATTGACACCAGACCCCAGATCTGCATGTAAGACAGGGCTCGTTGTGTCAAATTGGCAGGGCATACCATACCTTGATGCAGTGCGCGCAAGGCCGCGTTGTCGGATCGCATTTGATCTTGCGCTGCTTGCACAAAACACATGAGCTCAGCCGGGGAGCCCGGGAAGGGATCATCTTGGACGAGTGAGATTCTTGCAATACCCCAGCGCAGTAATGACAAAGATTTGGGGTCAAGGTCAAGACGGAGAACAGGCAAACATGCGACAAACGTGTTAAGTGCAAGTGCGGTGCAAGTCCCGGGAACAGCTGGAATAACGGAAGGTGCAGGGTAGCCCAGTCCACAAACGAGCTGACTAACATGTTCCACTGTCCCTGGATGATCACGGCCTGCCTCTATTGTTGAGGAGAAGAGTAAAATCTACTACATGAGTGCATGGATTCCTAGCGACGAGAGAACATCGATTTTCTTGTGCTGTCTCTCAAGGGATGAGAAGCCCCTATTTCGTCGTTCCTCATTTCTAACCGTTATGAACCTCAATACCAACTTCCCCAAGGACCCACAGTATGTATGTAACCAGTTGCCAGTCTCCCTTCAGTGATGATGTGACTTGTGCCTCATTGACTTGGAAGATATTAAAACGAAAAAAATCATACATCTGTGAGTAAAAGGCCCCAGTACTGATCCTCAACAGCTCCAATAAAATTCTAAAACTCAAGATCGCGTCGCCGATAATGCCGAGGGAGTTCACGAACGAACAAATCTTTGTCAGTTATCTCTTCGCCAGAAAGCCCTTCTTCATCCGACACTTCGCCCAGGAGCCTTGCCGAGGCGTGCCGAGAATCTCGCATTGCGTTCCAGGCAGCCCAGCTGAACTCATCTTCGCGAGAGACCATTCTTTGTACCTCCCCGAGATCCGCGAAATGGTTTCACACTCCCGTGATATAAAAAGTCCTGTATTTCGGGGTCCACCCGGTTCGCCATGCTCATGGGTGCTGAGGAGCGAATCGGTAAGAGTATCACCAGCCGAGGCCTGAGGCTCTCGGGCCGGTTGTGCCAACGGATGTTATAGCGTATTGCGTCAAGAAGTCCGGCATAAGTTTCATCAGCGAGGATGAACGCCAAGAAGCCAAGTTCAATCGAGCGGACACTCTCAGGTAAGTTGTTCAACAAGTCAACCAGCTCAGCCTGCTTCGCAGGGAAGCGAGACAGTCCGAAATGCTGCAGATTGGGCCAGCTACAAACGGGTAGTATTTGCTGTATGGGGACCCATGACTCTTCGTTGGCAATCAGGTCCTCGGACCCTAAAAGGTCACGGGGGCGGACATCCGCACTGAGGCTAAAGTGTGTCAGAAATATACCTCGCTCCAATGCAGATCGCAAGTCAGGCCGGCCAAAGATACCCCACTGCGTCGCGTTGTTCCCTTCTGTGGGATAGTCGCCAGTGAGCAGAGCAAGGTCAAGTCGACGGAAATCTGGACAACTGAGCAGGATATAGAAGTTCCGATAATTTTGTGTTTGGTCTTTGAAGAAGATAAGTGGAACCCCGGAAAGATGTCCGTTCGTCTCAATCACAAGTTCTTGAGCCGGAATGTGAAGGTTCGCTATCATTTCGAAAATAGCTTCATATCCACGCGAAACTCTTTGGTGGTAGGCTCTATTCTCACCCCAAGAGACGAGGATTTCATTCCCCATGGGGTTGAGGTCATACGGGCGATCAGATCGTAGTATGCCGTGATCTAGTTTCCCGCGGATGCTTCTGATCAGGGGAGTTTCATAAAGGGGCTCGCATGCCCAACCGTGCGCGGCATGGCTGCTGGTTATTCGTTTCAATGAGGATAAATGGTTGGCGAACTGTCTGAGGGCCCTGATATCCCAACTTATATTGACCTTTGTACACTCATATTCCATCCATACACGTTTTTGTATAGCCCTTCTTGGGTGGTGTTATGGCTTCAAGATGAGAAAAATTAGAGGATATCTGATTATCCTAAGCAAACTATGAAGAGACCAGAACTCAGCGCTGTCAGCAAACTTGATGTATAGCTCCCAGCGATTGGCCAACTTAAACATTAATCCTAGGTTGAACATACACGGAGCAACATTATGTAAATCATAGTCGATTTATGCGCAGAAAATATATTTGCTTCCGTACTCCAAATCTATGCTAAATATACATTAATCATATACATAGGATATCATATTAACAGATTAACCAAAAACGCTCATCAGCACTCAAATATACGTCGTAGAGGAAACATCGGCTATGGCCTTAAAGAGCCAGCGCGACTATTACAGTGCCAATCGCCAAAACACTCAGGGCTCGGGGCACGGCGTCGTGTTGGGCAGCGCCGAGGACAATTGGGCCAGTGTCGGTCATCACAGGCAGGACGGTGGTGTCGGTCTGGTTTCGGCTGGTGAATAGGACGGTGCGCGAAGAGGCGCAGTAGTGGTCGGTGAAGCTGATAGTGAAAGGGTCGCCGCAGGTGTACTTGACGTTCTGGACCGCGGAGGTGATGGTGCTGGCAACGGTGGATATGACCTTGTCGTAGCTCAGATACTCGGAGGAGAAGCTGGCGGGGACGGTGACGGTGCAGGCAGGCATCTCGGGCGACGCCGTGAGAACCCAACTGGCGAACCGGGTGTTGGGGATCTCGGTGGGGAAGATTTTTTCCACAACAGAGGCCACGCACTTCAGGTCGATGTTGGCACGGGGGAGAAGTTCTGATTCGAACAGGGGCGATACGGGGGAAACGCCGATGAGGGCGTTGATTTCCAAAGCCGCAGAAAGGCTGGCGGACAGAAGGAGGAGGAAAGCACGCATGGTGATCTTGTGGGTGTCGGAAGAATGAATGTTGTGGTTGGATATTGACTAATGATTGATTGCAAATAAGAGCGTGAGGTCATACCATTCAACTCCAGAGGAGGAATGCCCAGCTTATTTATCCCCGGCGAGATGGCAATGTTAATGAGTCACTTGCCGTACCATGGGGAGAAGACTCTGGGGCGAAATCCAACCTGGGAAGCATTGATCTTGGCAAAATCCTATCTGGCACTGGCATTGCTAGGGTCCAGGGTGCGAATAGCATCAGGTGCCTGTCCAGCTCTTCTAGAAGGCCTATGCCAAGGGGTCCAAGAGGCGCTGCAGGTCTTGGCCTCACCTGGTAATTCAGCCTTGCAGGGCTGTGCAGGCTCGCATATGCCCTCAAAATTACTCAACGGGGTCAATCGGTCATTTGGGAGGTCGGAGAAAGCGGCAGGGCTCGAGTCTGGGCGTTTCCACTAGATTAATTGCACGGGCGAAAAAGCAGGGATGACCTTCCTCCTTGTGTTTGGCCTCGCCAAGCAAATAAACAGGCGACAAAATCAATGCTTATTCGGAGCCCTCGACAATTGGCTGCAACCATCCATGGTGCTAGGGTCTTGGTCTTGGTGAGGATCGCATCGGGCAATGGCGAGGCAGACGGGCAAGACAAGGTTGGGCAGGATACGAAGTGAGGCCGGCGGTGATGATTTTTAGCAGGCGGAACCGTCTGTTTAGCGGCTGAGCCACTGAAGAGCCAATTTACTGCACTCAATGCCAAGCCACGTGACTACCCTAGACATCAATCACCAACTGCCATTGCTTTGCCTCGGCGCTGCTTCAACATACTTGCTTAGAGGTCAGTCATCCTACTCGGAATCCATCACATAGTTCCATTCATGCTAGCAAGGCCATCATCCTTTCTCATCACCGAGATGCGAAAACAAGGCACTATTGAGCAATCCATTGACTAACAACAAAGAACATAGGACAAAAAGTTCAAATAAAGACGAAACGAAGTCGAGACCCAATATTTTCGCACACGAACTTGTCCCTCCAGCGGCAGTAACCGACTTACAAATACCTTTCTTGATCATGTGATCGTCCAAGAGATCGGAATCGACGCTCCAGGGGCCATGGCCAACTTCCAGCAGTTGCATGCCCACTCTCTGAACAATGTCTGCATCCTACCGTCCTCGAGCTCCACCACCACCTCCAACTGTTGTCCAAACGGACCCTGCATGGCGCTCCAGACATGCTTGACCTTGCCGTCAGGGCTGTTGAAACTTTCCACCAACTGCCATCTCTCTTCTCTATCAGCCCCGTTCTTGGGAACTTGGCCCGCTCTCAGGTCAGAGTTGTCACGGCGGTACCGAAGAACACGTCCGCCAAGAACAGTAAACACCTCGAAGTCACCGATGCCATGCTCTGTGGAGGTGGCATAGTTAGTTTGGATCATGACCGGAGGAGTCCACCCTATCAGCAGCCCGAAAGACTCGCCAGGTTGCCATTGAGCTGAGGGAGTATCATTATCAAGCCAGAAGAGCTTGAGACTTGAATCGTCCATAACAGCTACGGCGTAGTAATGCCCGAATTTGCCAACGTTGGCATGAACAAGAGCTGGGCCCGACATCCGGACTCCCTTCGTCACGATGGCATTATTCGCTCTCCAGAATCCACCGTTTGTCTCATAGTGCCAGAGAGATCCATCCTGATGACGCACAACGCACACGAATGCGCCATGGTACGTAACTAGCGAGGGATAACCACCAATCCTTCTGTTCCCAAGGACCTCCTTTTGAGTCCAGGTCTTTGTATTCTGATCATAGTACTTGCGTACAATGTTATTGCCAGCAGACCAGTATAGAAGATCAATATTGCGATTGAAAGAGGAAGTAATGGCAAGTTGTCCGACACATCTCAAGGAAGCATCACCCGGTTGCCAGATATTGGCAATAGTCTTCCACGAGAAGTCATTGTTCTCCCCACCGGCTCGCATCCAGTGAACACCATGACCGCTCCCCCTACACACGGCCAACTCGAAGTTCTTGTGGTTGACACCTGAGCGGCCGGTTACAATCATGTTCCCGTTATGCAGCCTCCGGAGACTCCACGGGTCAGGGTCGGTATATCGAACACCGAACTTGGTGTAGCTGTTCTCGTTCATTTGGCCGTACTTGATCCATCCGTACCCGCCATTCCCCCACCAAGATCCCCAGCTATTCCTCACTAGCCAGGCACCTCGGTCGTCATCATAGCCTACAATGAGCGGTACATGCTGGCCACTTGGCTTCGAGCCGGGTTGTGGGTTGGCGGGAGCAACGAATACAGTATCTCCCTTGAGGCCTTCGAAGGCTTGAACAAGGTCATACACGACAGCCAGCGGGCCAACCTTGTCGATCCAGTTCTTTTGCTTCTCCAGGTCGGTCCCAAGGCTGACGACGCCTTGAGGTATCTTGACAGTACATCCAGAGCGGTCCACGCAGGGCCGGTATCCAGTCGGCCGGGTGTTGGTCGGGCTCCAGGCCCAGCAGCCAGGATCGGCAAGGCCCTCCTGCTGAACCCAATTGAGCGCTTTGACGTAGTCTCCAGACTGCGCGCAGTAATCGTTCGGCCTGCTTGCGAGGGGCAGATCAGATAGGTGGCCGTCGCGAAGGTCGCCCTCGGAGCGCTTGGCCCAGATGCCGTGCTCTATTCGAGTCATTGACTCCACGAGCGCGATGGCGACAAATATCCAGCAGTTGTTGCATGGGTTCTGGTCTTGGATGGTCGTGAGCCAGGAGACACCCCATCTTAGTCTCCAGTCGACCGTACGGGGACGGGTGTTGGCCTGGCGGGCGGCGATGTCTTGGGAGGATGTGTTCACACTTGTCACATCCAAATCCTGGTACTGGTATGCAATGCGCTCCGAAAATATCTCGTCCAGTTCCTTGTCTGAGATTACAGGGAATGCATTGAGATCGTCTGGTGTGACTTGACTTCCCGTGCTAGGGTAAGGAAGTTGATCGTCTGTATCATTGCGCGGGAGAACGAGGCTTGCCGCTTCGGAAAACGAGACCCAGAACAACAACACTGCCACATAACAGGTGAGCTTATGAAGCAGATTCATAATGGATGAAGCTAGAGTGTTTTGAGCATAGAGAAGCTTGAGGGTGCAGCAAATTCGAAGCAATTTTGGCTGATAATCTCTCCGTTCAAATAGTCTTCAATCCAGGCGGCTTACTTTCATGGGGTTTCCCATCCTCAAGATCTAGACTCTCATTACGAAAGCCATCACCAAGATAAAGCCCAATCAACTCTCTCAGGGACACCCGCCCGTTCAGCCGTTGAGACTACCTTCCGGTCATTGGGCCAACCATCGTCGCCTAGGCCGTTCGAATAACTCAGCTGTGGCTGGGGCTGAAACGCCATTCTACTTAGCGTCCAGGCACAGATCATGCTTACTGCGGAAGCTTAACGTTAATTGAACAGAGATTCATACGCCAATGAAGCCACGAGTGAGATTCTGCTAGTGAGAGTGTCATAGGGCTAGAAGAGGAGAGCTTGCAAGAGTCTAGATTGTGATTGGCATGTGCGACTCCCAGCAATAGGGGTCGAGAATGGCCCAATATACCTTTCAATTTGACAGAGAAGGGCGACCAAAGAACGATCAGGATAGGCCTTACGTGATTCTTATTTCTCACCAATCTGGTCAAGTTGCTCGCGAATGAGAGCTAGCCCTGCCTCAGAAAAACTCCCTGCAGAATGCATCTCTCCAGCTTGTGCGAGTCGAATCTTGGTAATCTGGCGATCCTCGACGCTCTGACTTTCGTTGTTAGGCTTCTAAACATACATCACTCAACAAAATTGGGTTCGCTCACCTTTTCAATAGAGCCTTTCACAATGTATCGGACAATACACACTTCTTCCTCTTGCCCAAGCCGCAAGACACGACCTATAGCTTGGCTCTCGATTGATGGATTCCATTGCGGCTCAAGAAAATGGACACGGCTGGCGATTGATAAATCGTTCAAGCTACATCTGTTAAGAAAGCATAGCCAAGATTGGAACTTGCCGAGCACTTACCCAACTGCGCCAGTTCCAAGTGTCATTAGGAGGACTCTGAGGGAATCATCGGAGCAAAACTCCTCCAAGACCTTCTTTCGATGGGCTGGTTTGAGGACACCATCCACTCGACAATACGCAATATTGTGTTCGGTCAGGAGACGGCCAACCACGTCAAGACTCTGTCGCCAGAACGAAAAGACGATGCTGGTCACTAAATCAGCCAAGCATTACGTATAGAGAGTGCTGGGGTTCGTTTTACCTCTTTTCTTTCTCTAAATTCTCCTTTAGATCCTGAAGCACTGCGAGCAGCTTCGATGGCCACACTCTTCCGAGATCAGGCAACGGCAATTCTCCCTCTATGCAGGTCTCCGGTGTGCTAGACGCGTCTAAGAAAATGTTCCCATCGCACTTTTTCTTGCACATGGGGCAATTTCTATCAGCACCTCCGTTTGCAGCCTCACTTTGGAGGTCAGGGGCGCATTCTCCACACGCAGCAGAGTAGCAGTGGCTGATTCTCGCATTTTCGGAAAGGTCGTGGATATCTGCCGCGCATGAGTAGCACTTTGCGTCTCCTGATTGCTGTAGTAGACTCAAAACTTGGTCAGGCTCCGACATCTCACCTACACTACTGCCTCCTACCTCAAAGCCCACGTTGCAGAACATCCTCATCCGAAGGATGCCTTGTAATGTGGCCTTGGCTGACTTCTTTTCGTTTGGCTGATTTGCAGAGGCCATGGCCGACTTTTTACAGGCTATCAAGATAGCCTTGTGGGCGGATTTTTCTCTTTCGGAAAACTGTACCTCGTGCTTCACTTCCGTGACTCCCGGCAAGGATATGACGGACTGCTTGCGGCGGAGACACATTGACGACAGGAGAAGTCTGAGATTGGCTACGTTTAGCTTCGCGTGGCTTTGACCAATCCTCTTGATTCCGGATATATGCTTTCGAAAAACAAGAGTGTCAGAAAACTGAGGCACTCTAAGAAACTTTATCAAGGATCCCAAGTCGTCGATTGTGTTTTGGATTGGCGTTCCCGTCATGCACCAGCGAATATTGGTGGACAAGCTATTGACCGCGTTGAACTGCTTCGTTGACCAGTTCCGGATGACGTGAGCTAAGGAAGAGTTAGCTGGGTCCTCGGAAACATCGGTGTCGATATGAACCTTCGTCAAGAATAAGCCTATACCACCTGAATCGGCTGAGCATCCCACCGCCGCGATTATGGTCAGATGCTACAGTCGCGTATGTCGATACCACCACGTCGTACTGCAAGGGCGAGGATGCGTCAAGCCGCCGTTGCTGCCCATGATACTTATAGACACTAAGTGTGCCTGGTCTTACGTGCCTATACCAGTGTCAGTCTGAAATAACGTTCTCGGGAAATCAAGCCTCACTGTTCAAGCTGTTTTATCCAAGTGTCCACAAGCACTATATTGTTAGCTCTCTGTATGCGTCGTATTGAAAAGCTCTCACTTACATAAAGATGGCACCAGTACCAGCGTGGATTTTACCGGTATTGGCCCTCCTACTGACGGATCCAAGTCTCTTTGCGAAGTTTGGGGAAATGTATGCGCGTTTGCAGCCCTTGACGTCGTAACGATTGAAGCAATCATCATCAACGTCTTTCCAAGGCCCATGTCGTCGGCAAGGAGACCACCACAGAAGTTTTCCGGAGATGAACGAATCGCCTCAGTAATGCGGTGACGGTATCTAGAATTGGGTTAAAGATCATTCACAAGTCCAAAACCAGCTAGGAGGTACCTAATATTCTCTGCAGCAGAGCTTCCAAAGTCTAGTTTCCAAAGCGTGTTCAGGTGGAACGATTCCGGATTCTCTCGACTCGTGATAAACGCGACACCCTCTTTTTGATGCCTATCAACTCTTGTTTAGAAGGATGCAATGGGTATAAACGCGATTATAAGACGCACCTCAATAGTTCCGTTGTTATTCTCTCATCTGCCTCGACTTGGGGTAGGTTTTCCGGTGCGGAAAGTTCATCTAGGACGGACCACGGATCTGGCTGGCTGTTCTTAGCTACTCCTATCCCACCCAAATCTGAGTTGTCGTCCCCAGCTTCCATCACCTCGATAGATAGGGGAGGCAAAATAGACCCCATGAGGAGAGATGCCCCGTCAATGTGGAGATACTGAGGGTTTTCGTACGCAAGGTCCGTTACGTGTGGGTATGGGTGTTGGAGAAAGAGCCTGTATTTCCCTAGCCGGCTTGCGACATCTTTTGCGACGCCTCGGGAACCACAGATGAGGATATTAACGGTGCATTTGACATCACCTGGCTTCATCCGAGTATGGGCCGCCGCTTCAGACAACTTCATCGTGATTGTCTCCGCCGTGAACAGCGCCGTGAAGGCAATCTTCATCTCAGCCGAGACATGTTGAAGAATCGTGTGTGTCTTGGTGTTCAATTGAGCTATGGGTTTCCCGTCTTCGGAAACGATTTCGCCACAGTCTTTCAATATGTTGAGAGAGAATGACACCAGGTTAGATTCGGATGTGCCAGTCTGCCGCAGTGCCAACCCTTGATGATCAGGTACACTACAGACCTGGGCAGTGATGTCGCAGATCTGCACTATTAGAAGTCCATATCATTTCGGCAAACGATTCCAGAGCTTACCATTCCATAGCATATATTCTCATCAACTCCGGACGGTGATCGGTCTCGCAGATTAGTCTCTGGGGTATGGCCAATCTCCAACTGGCTGATTTTGTTCAAGTCGGCGTAGTGGCTGCTAAACACACCTTCTGGTGTATTGCGCCCTGAGTTTGAGGGTAGAAGAGCATCGTCCTTTGGCCTTTTGAGCTTAAAATGTTCGACAGAGTTTCCATCGCTGGGTCTCTTGGGCGCAGAATGCCCGAGCATGATTTCAAATGCCCTCTTTCTAAACGGGGGTGCGGCGAGCCTGCGACTGCGCTATAAAGGGTTATGTTGTCAACTTTCCAGAAAAGACCACTTAGATGCCATGCAGTGTCAGCCAAGTCGATCTGCTATTTTTTATCCCCCGTCGAGAACATCCAAGAAGTCGGATGTCTTACGTTGCCTTCAATCATGTTGGGCCGCCAGTTGGTCGCCTGCATTCAGCACTGCCTCACAAGGCAGATTCAGCAAATGCCTCAACACTTCAGATGCGACCCACAACTTGATATGTTGGAAAATATCCATCAGGGAAATTACATCAGTCCTGAACCATGATAACAATTAGCAAAGATGGCAGCATCAGTTTTCCGCAGGGCACAAGATGAATTTATCAAGCATCTAAGTCAGGAAGAGGAAAAAGACTTCAAGGCAACCGACCTAGGGACCTTGCAGCAGGTCATCCTGAAGCTCCAAAAAGATCAACAAGAGAAGCGAGGCATGAAATACATGAACCGGCTCGATCCTTTCCTAAAGAGCATGGAGAAGTATGGCCAAGTCGTTGATACCTTTCTCAATATCTCCAACATGGTCGCATTCATCTGGGTGAGCCGAACCATGTACCATCCAAGCGTGCAGTTACTGACGGAAATCTAGGGACCAATGAAGTTCATTCTTCTAGTAAGCGAATACCCCATTTATTTGGGGCATTTCCTAATGATGTGACAATAGACGGCCAATATGTATACAGATGCCTTCAACGCGGTGCTGGATGCGTACCAAGATATTGGTGAACAGATTCCTCTTCTCAGAGACTTTGAAATCTTCGCGTCAAACAACCATATGATGGAAGCCCTTGGTCTAATTTACACGGACATACTCGAATTTCATCGCGAAGCCTTGCGCTTTTTCAGAAAATCATGTATGTACGCCACAAGGGCCTCCAGCCAAGCACAAGCTAACTCACCTTTCTTAAGTTTGGATGAAGGTGTTCGCAGCTACTTGGAGAGGCTTCGAAAAGAAGGTGAAACATTTTGCAGGAAACATGAGCAGGCACAGACAGTTGATCGAAAGCCGGGCAAGCATCATGGAATTCCAAGAAATTCGTGCTATTCAGCAAAAGGCTAACGATCAACTGGCCTTGATGCAGAAGGCTCAGGATGAAGCCTATCGAGCCAGCGCGAAGAGCTGGCTTTCTGGATTCAGCAACGAGGGGCAGCAGGACTTTCACCGCCAGAAACGGAGCCTTTGCCCGGGTTCTGGTCGCTGGTTGTTTGGCAATCCATGTTTTCAACGCTGGCTTGACATCAACTACTGCGATACGCCCTTGATATGGTTGACAGGCATCCCAGGGGCTGGTAGGTCTTTCTGCTCGAGGACTGAGGATATCTAATACTAAAACATAAGCTTTAGGCAAAACTATCCTGGCGTCGGTCGTGATCGACGAATTGATAACGAAGGCCAAGAGCACAGACATAACGATCGCATATTTCTTTTGCAAATACGGCGACAAATCCAGGAACTCATTCCTCGCTATAGCACGGTCGATTTTAATCCAGCTGTTGCCAAAAATGCAAGACTTATTGTCATACATTTATGAGAAGGCAGCCATGAGTAGTGACAGTGTCCTCTCATCACCCGAATTGGCCAAAGACCTCTTGGAGGTTTTAATCAATAATTGCGTAAAAAATCGCGCGATATTCCTTGTATTGGATGGACTTGACGAGTGCGAAAATCAACAACGAAAAGAAATCGCATGCTGGTTTCAAGCCAAGAGTGATGCACTTCCCGCAAGTGAGCAACAGAACTTCAGATGTCTCTTTGTCAGCCAAGACGATGGCGTGTCACGCAAATGGTTCAATCAGCTTCCCAGAATAACAATATCTCCTGCCGACACCAAGGAAGATATCAAAGACTTTGCCACTGTGTGGCACAAAAGGATCGAAGACAAGTTTGGGGAACTCAGGACCCCTAGCCTGCACATTGCAAATATCGTCAGCACAAGATCACAAGGCAGGTCATGTCTCTCCTAATTAGCCACCGACTTACTAATAGGGTTGACCACAGGGATGTTTTTGTTTGCTAAACTATTGCTTCAATATCTTGAAGATCAGCCGTCGCGGGAAAGCTTGGTAAAGGAACTTGATCCTTCCAAATTGCCAGTTGGAGTGGATGAAGCGCAAGTAGCCTCTTAATAAAAAGACCGTGGACTTGAATTTTGCTTATCATTTCACGCAGATACGACAGAATCATGCAGCGTATGCTAGAATCTCGATCAAGACCTATGCAAGAGGAGATTCGAAAGGTACTAGGGTGGATTGTGTGCTCACCCAGGCCCCTTCGGTGGCGTGAGATACAAGGTGCCATATGCATCAACCTGGATGCAGAAATGACCATCATAGAACAGCAACTACTGGAGGCTCCAAAGAGTCTGTTTGCGGCTTTCATCGAAATGCGACCGAACGGTATGGTGGATTTGGTACACAGCACAGCACGCCAGTAAGGTCACACGCACCTGGATAGACCAATACACAGACAGCTAATCCCCCTATCAGATATCTTATTCAATCAGAATATGTTGAGCTTTTACAAGTCCATCGTTCTCTGGCCATACTATGTATGGGTTATCTAAGTATGCCCCAAGTCAGTGCGAGTATGGGCCACGATGAAATCAATACAGAGCTTCTGAGTGGCATATATGCATTTCTTGATTATTCTTCTGCTTGCTGGGCCTTTCATCTGCAAGCGGGGATTCCAAAGAAGGGTGCAGAGGCCGGAAATCAAGAACTAAAGGAGCTTGCGGAGACACTAGAAGCTTTCACAGACATTCACGAATCTCCAGATTCAAAACCGATCGCAGTACCAAAGCCTCTTCAACAAGCTCTTTCCAAGCTGCCCATTGAGTCCAATTCCTCTCAGGCTATGCAAGCAGTTGCTTGGTCGCTGAAGCAAATTGGTACGGGAGGTCAATCACCATGCAAAGACGAAGCCCTCGATCTCTGGGAAATCATCGCTTCCATACGAAAGGTTCTTGAAGCTTCGAGCTCACCGTCAGTAATTCCAGAGAGTTCCCGTGAAGAATCACTTCGTCAGCACTACGGAGATAAACTATTTAAGTGTAGCCGTGTGAGTTGCTATTACTACCATGAAGGGTTCCGTACTTTTGAGGAGCGCCGACGACACACCTCCAAACACGATTTACCCTTTCTGTGTATAGTGCTGAACTGCCCACACGCTACATTCGGCTATGACACTCAAGCCAAACTCAAAAAGCACCTCTTCGAATTTCACGCCATAGACATGTTAGAAGACACAGAATTTCCCCCTCTCCCTCAGGTGGCGCAATCCACAAGCAACAAAAACCATCCGCCAAGTTTGACCTGTCGCATGTGTGGCAAAGGATTCACCAGAGGCCACAACCTCAAAAACCACGAGAGAAGTCATGCTGGGAAGAAGAAATTCAAATGCGGGAAGTGTGACACACATTTTGTACGGCAGGCAGATTGCAAACGTCACGAGGACCAGCATGAGGGAGAGAAGCGCGTCTGCTTTGGGTTACTAGAAGATGGCACGGAATGGGGATGCAAGGCTGAATTCAGTCGTCAAGACAAGCGCGAGGCCCATTTCCGCAAGGCAGGGAAGAAGTGCATCATGCCGCTATTGAAAGAACGTCTGAGGAAGAACAGGGATGCCGGGTTAGCAGACACGGATGGGCCTGACGAGCTTTCTTGTGAGGGCAGGGTGGTGCTGCCCAGGTTCAAGGAGTTTCTTCGTATCTGCGAATTGCTCGAGCGTGAGGCGATACATGTAAGTGGGTGACACGGGAAATGGCACGCCTAAGTACATAGTCATCTCACTCTCTAGATAAGTAGCGAATCGAAGCAGAGAGCTCATACTATTAATATTTTAGTTATTCTTTAATTTTAGATTCAAGAATTTCACAGCTATGAAAGTGAGGATCAAGTATTAGCATTTCAAGGTCGTTTTGTTTAAGGGAATGCTCAGATGCGCCATTTCCTGTCACTCAATTGGCCAGATCATCCAAGCCCCATAAAGGCGCCCCTTCGGGTCAGCATCGGCTATTACTCAATGACTAAGCATTCCAAAGATGCAGACCACTTTTTGCTGCCTCACCAGGCGGACAACAGATTCTAATATTAGTAACCTACCTCCATGGGTACTTTCGTATTTACTACTACCAACATGAAGGAAGATTCAAAAGATCGCAGGCAGCAATGCGAATCGCCAAAAAAACACAATCAGGCCGTGATGCACATAATTTGATTGCGTACGAAATAGCGCTGATACTGGGTTATTGGTTTGATAAAATGGCACCAAACAAACCTCATTCCTCTTTTACATTTGCATTACCCAATTTCAATGCCTATACTTGCTCGATTCCACGCCAAGAGGCTTTTGAAATTCACTCAAGCATAGTCTTGATCGAGCTTTTGTCACCGTGCACCGCCCTCACCTCCCACAACTGAGGTGCTTGACGAGTTTCATCACGTGATGCATCACATCCTCCACTATGACTTGCTTAGGTAACTTTTCGGTCATGCCAAAGTTTCGCGGTGCTGCCAGTTTTCAATTAGAGTAGAGTAGTCCTCAAATATTTGTTGAAGTCTGTATATCAGTAATACGTTTGACGAGGAGATTCAAGAGCCTGTTGCCAATATCAACTACTGTTCACAGAGCTGAAGTTTGTCACCCTAACCTCCCGCGCTCAGGATGCTAAGTCAATGCAATCACGTGATAGTCTACGCTTGGATATCACGTGAACTGGGTACCTTAGGTAAGCACAGTGAAGCCAAAATTAATTTCGATGGCCTGCGCCCCCGGCCCCCGATTGATTCTGGGGGCCATCCCCCCTTTTGTGTAGGGGCAATTGCTGTGCTTGATAAGCCAACCCCCGAAACCCCTACCTGCAGCCAAGCGCCAGCTGAATGTGGCCGACACAGAAGAAATCGCCCTGTCGAGCTCGACCAACTGTCGTAGCAATAGATAGTCAGTTAGAAAAAAATGAATAGCGCAAGGGCTAATTTAAGCCTTTTTTAACATTCTTAGAAACTTCCAGTACCATTTTCCGAAACTTTCGCTACGAAATTCGGTATTTAAACCCAGCCCTTTTCGAGCGTGACTGACTTTTGTCACCCAGCACCGCCCTCATCTTCAGCAGCCGAGGTGCTGGATGGGTATGCTCACGTGACAAATCAATCCTTCTCAGCACTTTGGCAAGCCGTGCTCATACCAGCGGAACAAAGTACCTGCGATATTCTGTATTGCAAATAAGTTGAGAATTTAGAGCACCAAGACGGCCAGCCAGATGATATAATACGGGTTGCTTCTAATGTCGTAACGACAGATGATGGCAATCTTCCCGTTCATTGGAGAGTCCCCGCGGGACAGTTGGGTGAGGAATCTGGCATTGCTGATCTAGCGCTGCGCACAGTCGTGCCAATTCCAATGATTAATGCAGCATCCGATTAATGCAACTTGAATTTACCTTACTATTTATTACGTTGAATGACGTTTTGCATAACGAGCGCTGGCTAACATGAACACCCAAAATTCATGTCGCATGTGGCTGAGCACCATTAAACCACATGCCCACCCAAAACTCAAAGGGAGGACCACCAAAAGTAGCAGCAGCGTGCAGTGCTCATCTTCATACGTAGTTTACACCAACTCAACAACGTAAATCATGAGAAATAATTACATGCACTTATACCCTCTTGACTCCTCTAATATATTCTGCTCTTACCTTTCATTTTAATAAATTCCCTGCCCGTGCACTTTGGCGCAAGTGCTTGTGAGGGGCATGTTTTCACATTTGTGGGTCGCTGTATGCGGGAGGTACACCAAAAAAAAAAAACCGGCGTCCGACATCTTTTTACAAGTCTCGCGCGTGCGGCAGCAACAACAAAGACCATAAAATATCAACAGCAGGGCTATCAAAAAGGAAAATTGGCTACAAACCGTCTCAATTCCCGTGATCAGTTAAGAAATATCAAAGAAATTACTTGTTACTTGGCGGAGCAGTGCTCTTTAGTCCGTCCTCATCATCTAGCTACCCTGCATTCAGAGGTCGGGTCAGATATACTCATGGAACACCTACTACGGATTAGACGAAGCTCGTTTTTAAGTAGAGCCTGCTGATCGGGAATAAAATCCTATCTGAATAATGTCCCTTTAGGAAAATTCCCTCTCCTCTAATCAATTTGTTTGCATGTTGAACAACCGGATGTCAAGTTTAAAAGATGTGACAAGCAACGAGTACTAGTCTACCAAATTCGTCCAGGCGAGACACATGATAACAGCCCAACAACGTTTCTCTCTCAAGATATGACCTCTTTCAGACAGCAAAGTCTCTAGTAGGAGGATATCTGAGCATCGGGTATGGTTTGAGTATTCGTGGAAGCAGGGTGTGAGGTCAAAGGGTCCACATGCGGTGCATTGCTCCGGCCGTTCAACGTCGGTCTAGCCAGAAACTGGTACGTTGAAGGCCGTTATCAATCAAGCATCGGCCCGCCAAAGTAGAAAAAAAACTAAGGCGCCTGTCATGAATCTGAGAATACGGAGTGCATACGAATGGCATATGAATGGACGAGGGAGTATCCACAAGTATTTGTGGATCACATATGCGGGAGGTACACCAGAAAAAAAACCGGCGTTCGTGATGAAATTGAAAAGCAATCATAGCACGACACTTGCGTGGGAGACTCGCTCGTGTATCGGAAGTCTTTTAGTCTGGAATTTCAGTGTTATACTCGTCATCAACTCAATCGGGGCCATGGTGATGCCGGGTTGGAACCTTTCCTCCATTTACCAGTTTCCAGTCAAGAGGCAGCAGATACATCTAATGCACTTGGAAAGGCGTGGAATTTGCTTGATCTAGCTTTCTCGATGGCACTGTTTGTCCTTGTCTTAGCTCTTGAATCATCTCAATCAATAAGGGGGAGGTGATATGAAGTAGACTCATTGTGAATTTTGAAGCAGATGCACCGTGTGTAAGCAAAGAAGAGTCAAGTTCAACGAACTAGGTATTATAGGATGCCTGCCTTGTACTCTGGGACTTTCATAATGCTTCTGAAATGGGTTTGTTCATAGTCATCAGCCAGTTGTCGAGGCATGAGATATTGGGTACAGTCTTCTTGAAGGCATAACGAATACTTCATACTGTGCACATTCGGTACTTACCAATAGCAGCAGCGTTGATTGCATTCAAGGATTGCTTATCCGCTATTAGTCCCGTAAAATCGTGCAGCTTTCTTTAATCTGTCGACATGATGAGAATGAAATGTCATTATAGAGCCTTGGTAATGCAAGGGATGATCAACGAGCTCTCCAATGATTGTGAAATTGGAAGCGTCTCTCGGCGCAACAAGGATTATGAGTGGGCATATATCAACTCTGACCCCGCCGTAAGCACGCTGACAAGCAGCAATACGCAAATAAAGATAGCGCTAGGATCGTTAGTAGGGGGGTACCTCGCTGCAAATGACGTTCTGGCCATGGCATGCCTCGCAAATCGTGATACAGTGATGCTCACCATGTGCAGTTTGTTCCCCGCGGTAAGCCTCTACCTAGGAGAGAAGAGATCCCTGCCTGAGAGATCTGTGATAAACTGCTGAGTCATACTTAGCCAGGTCAAAGTAGTCCACCGAGCGCCTACTGCTGGATAATTCATCCATGCTGCTGCAAACAGAAAGCGCCTGGCCCCAGCAGTCACGACCGAAACACGCTAAAAAGCATCAGCAAATTTATTTATCACCTCCAAAAACCTCCCATCTGCGCGTAACCGATGTTTTTCAGTCAACCCAGTAACAACAACGCGGCTCGCTGCCCATCCCCGCGCTCGCTCTTATTCTGCTCTCGGCCAGGAGTCGAGAGCTGATTCCCACGATGGTTGGTGTCGTCAGGTCTCTCGCATGTCAGAACTGCAAGAACCGAAGAACCAAGGTATTTGAACCCCTGAAAATCACCCACCTCACGCAGGGATTTAGGGCATTGTTGCATTGTATTGACACAGGACAGTGCGACCAAACGTGGCCGACATGCGGAAAATGCTTGAAGAGAGGTCTCAAATGCCCTGGCCCGTCGAATCTGATCAGGTTCATCGATGGGAGCACCCATCCAGGCAATGACAAGGGGGACAGGGCCGTGGCAATCACCCCAAACACGCAAACGGAGCCATCGTCCGCATCATCAAACGCCGCTGCACGTCTGGCACGCACAACGATCCTCGAGTCTAGGCCCGTCAACAACCGTGGCATCTATCTTACCGCCTCAGACGCACCTTCCAGCTATAGAAAATTCAAGCTCCTCCAAGTCCCCGCGCAGGTGGCGTCCACTCTTGAAGACCGCGTCGGGTCACGGCTGGTCAACTCGCTGCAAGCCGACAGATATCTTGCCGGGATCTTCACTCTGCTGCAGCACATGCCTGCTCGTGTCCCCCATAGCCCGTGCCTCAGAGATGCCATCAGTCTGTTCTGTTCTACCTATGCATGCCTTCAGAGGGGCGACCCGACATCTATGGACGTGACGATTCTGAAAGATTATGGTAAGTCCTTGAGGACGCTACGGCGCACACTGGAAGAGAAGCAAGCTGGAGATCTGGAGACATTCGCAGCCGTCGCACTCATCAGCCGGTCAGAGTCGGTTTTCAATCCTGCGTGGAACCCGTTTAAACGCAGTCATGCCGAAGCCATTGTCGCCTTCGTTGCTAAATGGGGTCTGCCCAAGGCCGATTACGATTTCCACTCAGAGATATTGTTCCAAGCACTCGAGGACATGGTACGCTCCTACAAGTCTTAAACCAAGAAGATAGCTAACCAGTCCTTCTCGCCGTAGATGTTCCATTCTTTTAGCAACGGAGTGGCACCGATATGGGATAAATCTCCCCATAGGGAGGCGATCGCGGAAGTATCGTTGCGTTTCTTCGCTCCCGCCCTACGACCATACGGAGCACCATTGATCCAAATATTCATGGAATATTTCACCAAAGCGCCCAGACTGCTATCAAAGGTCCTGCGAATCAACCAAGACTCGTCCTCGCCCGGAATGCGGGATCTGGCGATCAAAATCGTTAACGCCTTAGCCGGAGACACTGAGCGCGCGCGCAACGCTCTCAACCCGCTCCTCGAGAAGGCGTTTGAGATGGGCGAGATCAGTGAAGTGCAAGCCACAGAACCCGATTTCTTCCTTCCTACACACTACAGCCTCAAACCTGGTCGCTTTGGAGAGTGCCTCAACCTTATTTCGGTGCTGCTGGTGGGCATGGCACGGATACGCTATGATCTGAGCATGCTATACGGCCTGCCTTTCGCGGATGAGATATACGCCACCTACCGCAAGGAGTGCGTTGTGATGTGGAAATTTATTCCGTTCCGAATTCAAATCTTCAAGACGTTCGGGTTCAGGGCCGTTTCGATGATGACCCTCCCGTATGAGTGTACCCAGGGCCGGGAGAGGGAGTACATGACCGACTTGTTCCTGAGGGAAAACGAGCACCCATCCAGACTACCCACAGATAGGCGTGAGCTCGAAGCCGCCATGCTCTTGCGAGCCATGGCAATGACCGGCCGGCTACCTTTTGTCCCCGAGGGTGCGACTTCGCAAAAATGGATGCCCATGGACAAATAGGGGGTCACCGAACCTTGCTTGTCAAAATGATTACAACTGCTAGCTGTGAACGAAAGCTATCGGCATCTTCTGCTCACTGACCGTACCTGCGATTGTTGGGGATGGGTGCAACATCTGTGGCGTATGCTTCTCCATTGTGATATCCTTCAACATCCTCTCGCTGACCCTACTTCCGACCGAGGCAGGCTAACCGCCAATGGCGGCCGACAAACTCCGGACCGTGAGCTCGCTTTTCCCGTTCTAGAGGTCGTTGTCAAAATTCGTGCCTTTAAGCCCGCATGGGCTTGTTCTCTATCAAAGATAGCTGAGGACGACAAGCCGGCTCTAAAGGCTCTACCAGATTTAATCTTGGAAACTCACTCAAATCCCTAATCACCTCCATCTACAGGCATACCTGGCTCCTGGTCGCATCGATACTACGAACTATAGCTCAACGAAGACGATAATTGCAGTAGTCATTTACCGCACTCATCTTCTCAGCCTCCTGAAGCCTTTGCTCCTCTTCGAGAGCCCAACTTATATCAACTGTCGTATCATCGACAGACTAAACAGCGAAGGCATCACAAAGTTTCACTAGTACAACTCATATCTGTTCCGCTAATACATTATAAACTAAGCTAACAGATGTGTCTCAAGGTTTGGGCTATGCAGTCAAAGTAATCGCTACCAATATTCGCAAGGAGGTGTCCCCGTCCTGTAAACTCATTTTCTTCGGCCCCGACGACATCGACTTTAATCCGCCTGATGGAATGGACGATGGCAAGTCTGCCCGAGAACTTTACCGCGAAGAGGCTTTATGTGTATCGAGCCGAGATCCTCGTCATTCGTGGTTGGCTGCACCAAGAATGTTCTACCCTAGCGCCTGGATATCTGCATGCTCGCGGGCAAGGAAACCAGGATCTTCCATCGCCTAAGAAGAGGATTTAGTCTGGAAGTAAAGCATGCCCTTCACTGGCATGGATTCTGACTTAGAGGCGTTCAACCGTTATCCAGCAGATGGTAGCTTCGCGGCACTGCCCGGGCAATTTGTCGCTTCTTACCGTACTTGCCACGGCCGAGACCCGTGATATTAGCTTTCGAGGGAGGCTTGACGCACACTCCGTCAACCAGTGTACCATGAGATGCTCCCGCATGGAACTTGACTTGTTCTCGAGGCCGTTATTTTATAATTCCACCTACGAGCGTAATGATACTCATCGATGGACGACGAAATCGTTGAGAAGATTCTTTCTTCCCCAGCCCGAGTAAACAGCCTTGTTCCGGGCATGGATTCCGAAAGCGCAGCGAGCAAGCGAGCAACTGGAACAACAGCGGGTTCTATACCTGAACTGTCGTCTGAGGAGATTGGAGTTGGGCTTGGGAGGCGGGCGGGCGAGAACTTGAGAGCAGGAGCGGTTCTCGCCTTGCCCCCTTTATAAGTTTTCCGCGCTGTTGCGGCGGACAAGCAATCTCAGAAGGAACTGGCTTAGCCAAGAATCGAAAGACGAATGCTGAGGAAAGGCCTTGGATCGCCTTAAGAGGCATCCAATGATTTGACGAGGCTCCGCGGGCATCCGATGACCTGGCGGGTCCCCGGTCATCCAATGACCTGACTGCTCCGGGCATCTAGCGATTTGACTGCTACGCGGGCATCCAATGACGGCTCCCCGAGCATCCGACACCTGACGGCCTATTCTCATACAAACCAGATCAATACCTCGTTTACAGAGTAGAGAGCAAGAGCGGTTCTAGAAGGAATTGGCTTAGCCAAGAATCGGAAGACGGATGCTGAGAAGGCCCTGGATCGCCTAAAGAGCGAGCATGGCTTCGAGACGATTTTCGAAGCCATTGCTAGTGGCCAATGGTCCCGTTCTCAGATAATAATAGTATGGGTACGACTTCAGACTTGATTTTCAAGATGCAAAAATAGCACTACGTATATGATCTTCTTACAATAACTTGGTTCACCAAAGCAACTACTTGACCTTAGATGTATGCCCTTTGTGATTTTTTGACGAGTTCTAGGCTCACTAATGTGAATTGGATTGGGATTCAAGGCCCAGACAACTTAATGAAACAATAATACTTTTTGTGTTATCTCTGATCTCAATTTATACTTATGTCATTTAGAATCACTAGAGGAATCGTTGTTAGCCCATGTTCCTGATGTGATGATGTCACTCATGTTGTGATTAACAGCCGTGGCCGTCTGTGACGAAGGGTCAGAGTGGGCGGCATTGATTCATAGGTCCGCTCCCCAAGCCTATCAGTGCTCTATGTAGTCAGACCACTCTCACTTTTCTTTTCTCACTTTTCTGATGACTTAACCTGACAGCCGTGCAATCGCCATCTTCTTTCAAGTTCCGTCACCGGCCTATACAATATCAAGCATCCGTTTGATAAACAACAAGTCGGCCACCAAAATGCAGCTGCCAGCTCCAGCCCAGCTCCTGGCCTCCGTGGCCCCCGTAGATTGGGAGCAGCTCGACATTCCCATTCTTGCTCGCCCGTCCGAAGAAGAGGCGCGCCACGAGAAGCTCCGAGAGTTTTCAAAGGGCAAGTCTACTCCCCTGACTAAGTCTCCCGGCCCCTTCCTCAGCCAAGACCTGCTCGGCAGATACGGAATAGAGGTTCATGGTCTTGACTTCGTCACCGGGAGGCCTTCTCATGGCGGGAAGCAGTTCCTGAACCCAACTCCCTGGTACAAGATCGAGCAGTGCCTCCGCGTGACACGGCCGTGGGACGGGGGCGGAGACCTTGCCGACTTCAAGCACTGCTCGTGGAACTCCAACATCGGCGAGGCTCAGCATTTGTACCAAATCATCAGACGCTACCTTACCACGCTGGGATTTGAAGACGGGAAGCAGCCTGGTCTTCTGAGTATGACCCCGTGGAAGCCATTCATGTAAAAAGAGTCTTTCAAAATTTTATCAAGAGCTAATACGAAGTCACTAACACGCGCCGTTCTCCTAGGAACAACTATCGACCACTCCGCCAGTCCGGGCGCGGCTGGGAAGCCCAGGACATCTGGCGCTACACCATGAAGAATGAGAAGAATGAGGTTGTTGGTGATCCATCAGTCCCTCACATGCTCTGCTTTGTTGCGAATGAGCCCCGCCTTGTTGAAGGCGAGGTTTCGATAGGCGAGATGACCACGATCGTCTCGCTTCCGATGATCTATGCCTCGCACTACCGGGATCTACCCCATCGGCCCGTTCCTGTAAGCCCAGAATCTAGATTATAGGATATGCAGGACCCAGCCTTGACTGATACCTCTTGTTAGGTTACCCTTATCTCGTGCTCTTGGCGAATGTTCCGCGTTGTTCAGGGCATTGTCGACATTTCTAAGTCTGACATCGAGATTCGCATGACGCCCATCATGAGCTTCGTGGGAGGGATTACAAGCAACTGGCATGGGTTCCTCGCCTTGTTGGGATGGATCATCTCCAATCCTGTTGGGCAGGCTGAGTGAGCAGTGATACTTACGTATCAACTGTTTGGTATGAAGTCTGGAGTTATGAGTTGTGGCCATTAGCAAATCGCATTGGCAGGAGATGATACCCGGCGTGTGCTTCTTTTCTTTCATTCAGAGTTGCGAATTATAGGGAGTTGGCTGCTTGTTTCCATTTTGCAGAACACCACAGCTGTTGTATAGAATACTACTCCGCAGTTAGCACGCTTGCAAAGCATTGACTAAAGGGCTTAGGACAATCCTCAAGGTTTTCTTTAGATTGATCAAATGCAAGATATCCGTTTGAGGAACACATTCAATCATCTCCCATAAGCAACTTCGTTGCTTAAGCAGTCTGCCTGCCTTAGTGCCTTCTGTCAGCCCATAAGATCCTGATGCGACATCAGCGAGGGGTTTGCCAGATGCAATCACACATCGTAGCCACTCCACCCGGGCCGAAATATCACTGCCCCAAACACAGCCACACGCGTTAAACGCCTTACCTCACAACGGTGCGCTCAAGAAAGGCGAGCAATATCGATGGAAGGAGGGGAAGACAAAACTTGTATAAAGTCCAATAAGGGAACCGAAAGCCTACAGAGATCCCTAGCCAAGACTTCCAACGAAAAACTTCCAGACATACCTTATAAGCACTACTCAACTTCACTAAGGAAGAGAAAGCATTCACCATGACGCTCCGCTGGGACAAAAAGAATAACCTCTTGCACCGCGGCGGCAAAGTCTTCAACCCCTCCCGTCTAGAATGGTCGGCAGCCCCGCAGACGACCAATCTGAGCGGCTCAGAAGTCAGCCCGCTGGAGGCCCTGCAGCATCTGGCCAAAGAGAAGAGCCTGCGGAGAGTCCCCGTGGGCGTCATCGGCACCCGGACAGCAACGAAGAAGCAGCTGGAGGTCGCCCGCAAACTGGGCGCGGCCATGGCGGATTACGGGATGCAGCTCATCTGCGGCGGTAAGGGCGGGGTGATGGAGGCGGCCTGCGAGGGTCACGCTGCCCACGGCGGGCTCCCCGTAGGGATACTGCCCGACGGAGAGTGGGATGGCGCGAACCCCTTCTGTGCCATTCCTATAGCGACTGGCCTCGGTGTAGCGCGGAACGCTGTCATCGCGCGGGCGAGTGTTGCTCTGATTGCTGTGGGAGGTGGTCTGGGTACGCTTAGCGAGATGGCGATGGGGATGCAGTTCAAGCGGCTCGTGCTGAGACTGGACGGGGCGCCGGAGGTTGAAGGTGCGGCCTCTCTCGGGACCGTAGAGGAGGCCCTGGATCGCGTCGCTCGCTGTTTGCTCTCGCTTTGAGGGCTGATGGCCACGATGGTGATTACTCCATGGAGCTCGAGACTGATGTTGGATGGAGGTCACACATTTGACGACGAGGCTGTTGGAAGCTACAGCTAAGAGCGCTATAAGTTAGGTGCCGAGAGCTGAGAATGCTGTGGGTTAGGCCCTGAGAGCGCTATAAGAAATACGGTATGAATAAGATAAGACACACTGGGTAATCGGCACTGTGCCAAGTTGTTTCGGCCTGTTTACTTTTATTCGGATATGACCGTAGGAAATTGTCGCACCACTTTGACGATATGTATTTCCGAAGCATAGAACGAATAATCTTACTGGAAGCTATTATAGTTGCATTGAGAAAATGAGAAATCAGTTCAGGCAGCAATTTATCTGCCTGGGCGCGGCATGATGATCCACTAGACTGTTTCAAGGGTTACAAACACCAATGGAGTTGCTCCGCCGTCAGCGGACCGATCCTAGACAAAACACATTCCCATCACTTATAAAGCCGTGCCTGAGCCTTCCAGATTGTTGTTGTCGCGCTCTACTTCTCATCAGCATAGGAGCAAGAGGGTCCTTGGCCTTTTGATCTGCGCATATACACCCGACTCGAGCAACATGACCACCTTCCACCCATTTCCCCGCCTTCCGTATGAACTCCGCATACAGATATGGAAGTTGACGGTCGAACCTCGCACCGTCGAAATCCGGGTAGGCGGCTTCTACAAAGACCTCGGTCCAAAAACCAAAGACAAGCCCGAAGGCGAGCCCGCAGACAGACAGTACGTACAGTACCTCGTCACCCCGACGCCCGTGCCCGGTCCTCTGCAGACATGCCGAGAAGCCCGGAACCTGGGACTGTACCAACGATCCATGTCCGGGCTATCCGACCTCACCGGCGACGAGAAGCAGTACGTCTGGCTGAACCTCGACATCGACCTCATCTGCTTCAGGGGCGGGTCGCTGGAAAAATTCAACCAGGTCGCACCGAGCGTGAAGCGGCTGAAGCTGGTGCGCGAGGTGTCGGAGATGTGGTACTACTAGGAATCAAAGAGCGAGTTTCGCCATTTCGTCAACGTAGAGGAGGTGCACGTGATCTGCAAGAACGGGATGAGGGAGTGGCATGGGTCCACGGCCGATAACTGGTGGCCTTGCAGCCAGGAGAATTTGATCTTCATCGACCCGCGTGATGGGCTGATCTTGAATGGCGTCCAGATGGAGGCCAAGTTTGACGCGATGGGCCGTCCTGTGATTGATCCCCTCGACCCTACCTACTGGGGTCCTCCAATTCCTCCAATTCAATATGAATGAAAAGCGGGAGAGGAGAGTTCCAAGATGGACCAACGTTCGAGATCCAATTCTCCCCTGCTGGCTTTTACCACTTACGCCCTCTTTTATAGGATATTTAGGATATTTACCAGAACTGATCACTTTATGAATGAAGAAACGATACTCGAATACCTTTTCGGTGTGGATCTGTTAGTCTTGATCAACAATCACCTTCCCGATTCACAAACCTTGCTTCCCATGCCCCTCAGTGCCAACGCCGCCAATTATGGTGTAACACGGCTCAACCTTGCCAGAAAATCGGTGGGAGGCCCAGAGAATAAGACTGGATCGTGGGATGGGTAGATGGTGTAGTTGTCCCCGCATTTGGGCAGCTTCTTTGTGCCGACATGAGAGACTATGCAGCGCAAACCACTCGTTTTAACTAAAGAGTTTCCTTTTACTTACTCTTTGTGTGATTCGCTAGTGGAAAGCGCTAAGCTTTACACATACATGTATGGAAGGCGATTGTCTCGTACAAGTTCCTAGCATTAACACCAAAACCTTGCTGCTTCCTTCTTGTTTCCTAGCAACTAACCACAATAGGGATACTGTATAAATTGGAATATGCCAGTCTTCGGGGTATATTTAGGTTTGGCAACCTTTGTAGCAGTAAATGAGTTGGTAATGGATGAGGCACTTGACAGTTAATGTAGATCGATAACACTCTGGTACTGCTAACCGGTGTGCCTACCAAGTAACTTGTCGTTGAGGCTTTGCTACTGTTTAGGAAACCATAGCTTATCGGATCTAATAAGTTAGGTACTAGGATAACAAACTCGCCAAATGGTTGTGAGGTGAAACGCGGTCAACCTTCCCGCTCTGCACCTCCAGGGCCCCACATCACTTCTCGCACCTTCACGTCAAACACACGCGAATCTACCCTTTCCCAAGCGTCTTTGCCGTATCGTAATCACCTTTGGTATTTTGAAATCATTATACTTCTACATCAAAAGACTCATGGGCCGTGGCTTGGCTTCTCTTCCCAACCCTACCAGCACCACTCCTATGGGCCTCTTTTACAAATCTAGACAACTTTGTTCTTCTTTCGTTGAACAAAGGGGAGCTTGAACATCACCTCCCACTGTATAACGACTGTTCTCGAAAGAATTATTTTGTGCAAACAACATAAGAAGTTCTTCTCTCTGCGCTTTCATCCGGTAAGTTTTCTTCCTTCCGTGCAGCTCCCATCATGCCGGGCTCAACTTCTAGATTAGGAGTGGTGGCTGCTAAGCAAGCCAACCGCGATTCCACCTACGGTGAGCATATGATCGTCAGCAATACCAGTTCGCATCTAACATATTGCAACAACAGGCTCGAACCCCGAAGTGAAGCAGTCTGAGGTTACCGAGCGAAGCACTCTGAACCGCAAACATGTACGTCTTCTGTCCTATTACGCTCGACCAAGTTGTGACTGACAGTGTGATCAGCTGGCAACAGGCCCTTCAGACCAAGGAAAAGGGACAACAAACATTGAAGGTCTCCCTCCATCCCGGTATCTGTCTGCAAAGAGATACGCCCGTACATGGGAGTGGCTTAATGATCTGCCAGTCCGCCGAACCTGCCAAATTCCCCTGGTTCTCTACTATCCCAGTACCCAAGAAACATTCGCCATGACTGATACTAGCTCGACTATCACGGCTCAGACGGCCAAGACCGGAATTCACCATCAATCTTACCGTGCCCTATTACAGAGCAATGGCATCAAGATGCTCGACGCCTATGACGAGCCCCCTCAACATGTTCAGGCTCTACTTGCAGACGTGCTGCCGGTTGAGCCTATTGCAATTACCGGACGTATCGAGACTGTCGAAGAAAGAAATATGGTCATCAGGGGATCCGATGAAGAACAAGTGAAGCGCTTGTTTCAGTCTCTGATGACGGAACAAATGGATTCATGCTGTATATTGATGGTGGATGACCAGTTGCTCGACCCCCTACGCGTGCCCAACAAACTCGGTCGGCATAGAATCGTCAGCCCCGAACCCAATACTTATCTGGGATACTGGCCCGGACTTTTCGAAAAGAGGCTTCATGACTTGCTTATACACACTGACGCAAACATGGCCTCGTTTGGATTCCTGGTTGTAGAGGTCACAGGCGATGGTGAAACAGGTTCGGATGGCCTTTGGGTAGCGACCAACAAATGCATGGGTGCGGCATCGACCTTTCTCAATATTATGAAGACGCTACAATCTGCTCTACTCGAGAAAGACCTTGTCAACGAGGCCAACGCCTTGCAGCCTGTGGTTTTTAGCATTGCGAGCAATGGTACTGAAACTAGACTGTTTGCGACATATGCAGAACAGGAGTATTTCACTATGTACTTTGTTAATGGCTTTCTGCTGTACGACGCGACAAGCAGAGCAACTCTACACTCCTACATCCAGCACATCGTCGACTGGGGTGCGAACAAGCGTCTGCAGACGATCAAATCTGCACTCCAAGCCCTTTACGACTCCGGTGTTCGTATCCCAGCTCCACCCATAATGTCTGGCAACGAAGAGAACTACGATCCCGAAGGCAGCGAGGCAAGCGAGTCTGATCTTGAAATGCCCGATTCTCCCATTGATCGTCCCCACGCGGGCAGGGGTGAAGCCTGAGCCGAGACAGAGGGGATCGAAGAAGAGAGCCGCCGATACTCAACCAAGCGCAAGCAAACGGAGAAAAGCGACGGGAGCCTCGACATGAAAGGACGAAAGATTATGGGATAATAATAGAAGCATAAAAGTTGAGCGAGAAGATTAGTGGAAGGGGTTCTACCTACCAGATTGTTTTACCCAGTAAGTGGTTGTCAGAAAAAATAGGGACTAAGAAGTCACCTCAATCGAATTATTGTAGTAGTCAGCCAACCTTATAATTCCTCTTATTGATGTATTGTGTGATAGTAAGTAGACAATATTTCTTAGTAGCTGCTGAATAGTTTACCATTGCTGTTATAACTGATTATTGGCTATTATTATTACAACATATGGTCGTTATACAGCTGCAAAAAATCGTAGTCAAGCCACCCCTGAAGCTCGCTATGCAGAATATCAATCTCGTTCTCCGCCAATGTAGGTATGACTGGCACATCACTATCGGATTCCAGATTGTCATAAAAGGACTGGGCTTGCGCTCGAGTGGTAGTCTGGTCATGAACCCGACGGACCAGGAAGGTCAAGTCCTGTAGAACCCTCGCACAGTCCAGGCCAAAGTTGTTCCCCGAGGCCGCCTCTCTCTCGAATATCTCAATGGCCATTTGTATCTCGCCCCTTTCCTTCTGCTCGTCTATCGATGGGTTCGGGAAGGCGAGCTGCTGCAGCAGGACGATGACGGCGGCGTTGAAGACGGCGTGGGCCTCATGGTGTAGGAGTCGTTGCCTGGGGCTGAGATCACGCACCCAGCGGCTAAGGCGCAGATTGTTGCGAGCAGTTGTGACGATCTGCTGGATGATACCTGCGTGTGGATGATCGCCTGTGCCCTGATACAACTGGGACACCTGGGACACCTGGGACATCTGGGACGGCTGAGACGATATGTAGCGATCTGCGACGGCTTTCTTGACTGCGATGAAGAAAATTGGCCGCGTGGTGAGTATGATTTCCTGCATAAATCAATTAGTACCCTTTACTATGCAACATCATTTGGGCATACCTGATTAAATGCCAGATGTAAGACGCAGCAGGCTCTGTCTTGGGGCAAGTTCTCATAGTCGAGATGCAACTTCTGTGGGAGGGAGGCATTCCAATCCTTTAGCATCTCAAGGGCTTTCTCGACATGTTGCAAAGTAGTTGCTGCAGACTGGTCTGACGGGGCAATACGGTAAATCTCGAAAGTCACATAACGAGAGATTCGTGCCAGTTTGATATGAGCAGTAATTCCCGCTGGGTCGGGCAGTCCGCTTTAGCCCGCGCAAATTAGTTAAAAAGACATGAATAAAAGAGTTCAAAGATCGGTAAAAGGGGCTTACGCGACGTGCTGTGGTAGCTGGATGCGGATGGCTGTCTCAGTCATGGAAGGAGGTCGACCTAGCCAAGATGAGAGCCATGTGTCCAAGATAAAAGCCGTCCAGAACATTCTCTTCTTCTCCTCGTCACAGTCCCACGTAGTATGTGCCCCATACATGACCGCTAGGTGCAGTGTCGCGCTTAGAGCCATGTACGCAGCGTCACGGCGGTTCATCTCCAGGAAGTACAGAGCAATGAGCAGCAAAACGGGCACCTCGCTTTCTGAGGAGGCCATCATGTCGAGCGGGTTGCCCAGCAGTGACCGGGCCCTGGAGTAGAAAGCACGGCTGGTTCGATGCCCCTGCTCCTCCCATCCAGCACCACTGCCAAGTCTCACCGATATTGCAAAGAGCATATGAAGGAGAGCGAGCTTCCCGTTCGACTCGAGGTCGGCTCGGTCAGGGTCTCCCGGTGTTACAGGCACATGGCCCCAGTAGAAGATACCACCGCTAGGAAAGTCATTATTCCCGTCCTGCAAGAAGTACCGAAACTCGGTGAGGAGCAGCGTCATCTCGGTGCGGGTAGGCAGCCACGATGAGTCTACGGGAAGCAAGCCCAGAGGCCGTGAGTCGTGCGTTTGATACGACCCAACGCTCCTTAAGAACGTTGTGCCCTCATGCACCACTACGCCTGTGACAAGGGGCTGCAGAGTCATCATGAATTCCTTGACGTGGTTCAAAAAGTTTGCTCCTGACGACTCTCCAAAATAGCGCGCCGTCCCGTCCGGGTCGTGAAGCAGGCGGCCTTCATCCGGCGTCAGGACCTCGAGCGGGGAGGGGCCATCGGATGCAGCGGTCAGCGGTCCAAGCCGTCGTGCTGTCTGACCTAGTTCCACGAGCTGTCTTGCGGCGGGCGGCCGAGGTTGGCTCCCTGCCTCTGTATCAGAAGATCTGGCCCGTAGTAGATCATCTAGCTCGGCTCGGGGAATGGACACCATCTCAACGGCATCTGGATAGTGGCAAGTCCGCCCGCCGCGCTCACACTGCGCGCATGGCCGCTCTCCAGAGCATTTTATGCGCCTCGAATTGCAGCTGTTGCACCTGGAAACGCAAGTGTAAGTCATGAACCTGTGGCGGGCGTTGGTGATGTAGCACACTCACGCTACAGCAACACGTTTGCGCCTCTCGGGCGCGACTCTCCGCCGGCGATGCCTGGTGACGACTCGTTGTTCTGGGGCCGGATGGCCGTCTTCATCCATGATTTGGAGTTGGCTGGGATGTGTTGATGAAGATAAGTCGGAAAGGTTGGCTTTAAGTGGGCAAGGCTACTACTTATATCGAAATCCCCCTTATATATCCCCGATCCTAGAGGTTTCTACATTTGGACTAAGTTCAAATTCTTCGACCCCGCAACTATGGCTCCAGCACAACTATATGGGACAGCTGGGTTACTTTTAGCCAATGTTCTAATATAAGTCACGGGATTGATAGATAATAGTCAATGATAATAGCAATGGTAGATTATTGAGCAACTACTAGGCAATATTGTCTGCTTACTGTTATATACCGAACATGGAACAATAAGAATCAAATCATTATACACTACGGCCACAGTTTCGCCAGACCCCCCTAAGATATCTCTACAGTCCGTAAATAAATGTCCTCTTGCGGTCAGCGTACCTCGTGCTATCAATCCGCTCACTGGCAATCTCTTCGGGCGTCATTTGTGACAAGATTCTCCTCTTGCGGCGGTTGACGGCAGCGAGTGTAAAGCGGTAGCTGATGTATCCTAGAAGCGAGACGATGGCGATCCCTAGAGTGATGAAGAATGAGACCCGGTACGAAGGCCCATACTTTGCATCGTACACCTGCGAGCCGATAACACCGGCAAGGTTGCCAAATCCGTTGATGCCCAGAATAATGGTCCTCTTTCCGGGCTCTGTTGGTTTTCATGGCATATTAGAACACGGTCCATTACAATGCAGCAAGAACTTCGAATCGAGGAGGCTTACCTGGTGTGTTCCCGCTCAGCCAGGCAACCGTCAGAGGCGCAGAGACGTAGCAACCGAAAAGCAAGATGCATAAGCCTGCATATTTGGCACCATTCGCGTTGACTGTCGCCGCAATGATGAGACCGACAACTCCAATGCCTATACCTGCGATGATATGGAAGCCCCGCTCCATCCTATGAGTCTGAGTTAGTATGTTGTCAGTGTTACGGAGTGAATGTCACGAGCAACCAACCTCTTATCAGAGCTCCAGGCAAAAAGGAAAAGCCCAACAGCGCCACAAACATATGGGGGGATCGTCATCTACACCATCAAGTCAACTAAATCCCCCCAAAAGCCATCGCAATCCGGTGTCTACTTACCAAGTTGGCCTCGATGCTCGAGTAACCCAAGCCCTGCACGACCAAGGGCATAAACACGCTGAAGGCTTGCGTGGGAACACTTGCGCAGATGTTAAAGATGAGGACGAACCACAACTTCCAGTCCTTGAGCGCCTCGACGACGTCTCGCCTGGTGAGCCGGTCCTGCTCCAAGCCGTCCTCGCCGTATTCGTGGCGGATGTACAGGGCAGTGTCTCGCTGCATGCGCTCGGTAGCAAACTTGCGCTCCTCGGCAGTAAGAAACCACGCGGATCCAGGACCAGCAGGCAGCATGAACCAGGCAATGATTGCGACAGCGCAGGTCAAGACGCCTTCGATGATGAATAGGTACTGCCAGTTGTGGAGGGACCCGGACTTGAGGTGGAAGATGCCAAAGGCTACAAAGATGATCAGCCAGACTGTTTGCGCTACATGAGACTCGATGCATCCACTTACAAATAGCACCGGCAAAGGCGCCTGCGATCGCATATTGTCCATAGAAAATGGCTATGCGGATGGCAAGGTCGAATCTAGTATAGAAGAAGGAGAGGTACGACACGCATGTTGGATAGAAGCCAGCCTCGAAGACTCCGATTACAAGCCGCATCGCGATAAGTGCGCCTAGTAGTAGGGAATGGCCGGTGTTAAGAGTCAAGTTTCCTAGTATTATCTCAAGACAAGGGCAGACACTCACCACGACCTTTGATGAAGGCTTGTCCGATAGTTACGGCGCCCCAGGCAAACTACAAAGACTCCCTCAGCATTGTGTCAAGGTTAGATGGATATTACAGAAACCATACTGTCATGAAGGGAATCCAATGCTTTGGTCCGACGATGCGGCCGAGTGCAGCAGAGGGAGGCTGGAATAACACAAAGGTGATGAAGAAAAGAGACACGGAGAGGTTGAGGTCAGATGGTGCAGCTCCAATATCTTTAGTGAAGCCTGTTTGTAGACTCCGTATTAGCCTGGTTATCGTAATTGGGCGGAGACATACTGACCTTGAGTCTCTGCATTGCCAATGTTGCCTTTGTCGAGTCCGTTGAAGAGGTAAAGCAGAGAGAGCATGGGCAGCATCGCAATATCCATCTTGCGGTTGATGCGACGGCTAAGAAGCGCCTCCTCCGGAGTCATGTCGTCCACGAGGCCGGCAGGAACATTTTCCTTGGTCGCGAGCTGCTGCTCAACCTCTTCGTTTGGGATTTTGGCATCATCAACATCGTGATGCTGCTTGGAATGAGCGACGGATTGAGCCATGACTTTTGCCGAGCCTCGAAATGTCGGTCAGAGGGATTAAAGATGAAGAGTGCAACATCGAGAATGTTACGGTGACTGCAGATCCCTTTATATAAGTTCAAGGACTGGAAGTGACAAGGACAAGGCTCAGCAATTGCCCTGATTCGTGTTTATCCGAGGGTAGAACTGGAACACGGGTCAATGACCCGTGAGTGGGTGCGTGACCCGCCAATAGTGAGGGAAGATCAGCACTAGAAGAACACCATCAGAAGCAAGTGATTGGACAGGAAGATGACGCTTTTGAGCTCATCCCCACGGGGCCCCGGTGGCTGACCTTCTAAGAGCCGAGAATCAGAACGGGTAAGGACCCGTGCGGGAGGAGAAATGCTGTCCTGGCACCAAATCCAGTGTTAAATATGAGCCCGGGCCAGGCATCTTCCCAATAGCAAGATCAGCTCATGCAACCAATAGAAGGTCTTGGCATTTTACGCTCTCGGTAAACGGATCCAGGGGCAGCCATGAACAAACCATTGCCTCTCTCTGGGCAGGACTACGCCAGTCCTCTCTCGTTCGACCTTGGCAAGGCAAAGCTCAACAAGACAGTGGATATCGGAAATAACGGTGTATCCGCGTCGACTGACCAGTTTGGACGGGTATGTTGCCCTTAATGACGGCGATAAAGCCACGGTTAACGATGGCTTCGCAGATTCTTCAACTCAGTACTTACCACCCAATACACGGCATCATCGTCGCCGCGCCGTACTCTCAATTCGACAAGACCCGGTACCACGACCCTCAATATGTTCGCCAGTACCGAACCAAGATGCTTCAAATGTTGGCAAATGACGAGGAAGGATTCGGAATCGTCGTCCAAGATTTGAACACCACATTCGAACTGCAACACCTATCGATGAGTGCGGCAAGATCGAGTTGCACCACCAAAAGGGGCATCTGCGTTACAACCACCCTGCATGTCGATGATGGAGGAAACTTTTCTCAAACGGTGGTGCTTCGGAATCCAACAACGGCCCCCATATCTGTCGACTATCTGATCAATCTTCGGCTCAGTGTGCACCGGGCTTCTTACGGTCAACTGACAGAAGCAGGGCCTTTGATCCCCCCTGGCTGCGAAAATCAGCTTCGCCTAGACGACAATACCACTTTTAGTGTGACTAACCCTCTGCTCGGGGGTTGCGTGCTAGGTAGCCTGACTTTGGATGATGAACCCCACGTCTTATCAGGAATTCAAGAGTCGGTTTCCAGAGGCGTCCTATCTGACGCCATCGGTCCAGCGCAGACGATAACCATCGATCCGGAGTCACAGGTCACTCTAAGGGCGCAATTTACCTTATTCGCGAGCATTCCAGACAAGGACCCTGTTTTCCCATCGAGAACTTGTTCCAAGGAAAGCCAGTGCTTGTCCTCGAGATGGAGAGACGACAGTCGTTGTAGCACTTATATAGTCAGACGCAATGTCGACTATATACTAAGTAACTGCGTCGTGCCCATGCCCGGCGATGTTGTCGGGCTCATTACAGACCACGTCGCATTACCATTGGGCTGGAACAGAGACAACTAGTAAGTAATTGTTGAAGCCACACAGATATGCTTCGCTTCTGCTAACCATAGGCCCAGTTGGCAATGGCGGTTGTTGCTCAATGTATATCAGCGCCTCGATAAGCTGTTGGAGCCCACCCAACAGGACGTATATAAACGCAGAATCGAGCGGGCACTAAAAGGTCATCTCAAATGGGCACATGAGGTGGCCGAGAGACCGCACACCTTCTGGCACCGGTCATACGTGATCGCTGGCAAGCCCAAGGACGGCCCGACGTTCCAGCTAGATCAGCAATGCTACCCCCTCCTCGAGCTATGCGATTATTCCGACGCATTCCCTGATGATAAAACATTTGTGCGAGACCTAGTGCATGGCGCGGCTATGCGTGAGGTACTGTCTGCCATTGTGTCGAGGCGAGATGCGTCCAGTGGTCTCTTCCCCACGGACGAGACACCCGGAGACGACGCGGTTGACCACCCTTTCCATTTCTCAAGTCACGTTCTACTGTGGTACACCGTGTACCGGATTGCGAAGCTGTTCCTAGAGTACGAAGCTCCAATTGGGTTCTCACAGCAGGGTGTGTTAGACTTGGCCGCATCGATCCGTGGCGCAACCTTGAAGCACTTCATCCAACCTACTGAGGAGGAAGGGGAGAAAGGAGCCCAAATGATAGCCTATTTGGTAGACGGCCTTGGAACCAAGACATTCTACCACGACGCAAATGACATTCCCACCATCTTCGCCGTGAAATGGGGTTTCCTCGCGTCCGAGGCTGAGATCAAAGCCTGGCACAACACCATGGCATTCGCGCTGTCGCCTCGGAATCAGCTCGGTTATGCTGCCGGCGGCGACTTCTCTGGACTTGGAAGCGTGCACTCGAAGGGTCCGTGGCCACTGGGGTACTTCCAGGAGCTCCTCTATGCGCACATGACGGCAGACGATGCCGGCAGGGAGGCGGTCATCAAACGAATCGTCGGTTCAATGCAGTGGGATGGGACTTTTGGCGAGGCGGTCAACGTTGAGACTGGAGCAGTAACAAGTAAGGCGTGGTTTAGCTGGCCTGGCGCCATGATCGGGGCCATGATCGTCGAAGAGGGGATATCCTTCTGATGGTCTGGATCGAAAATAATATCAGGGCTGTCCTCTGTCTTTTTCCATCCTCGTAAATTTCAAGAGTTTCTAGATGGTTGTGCGGTAGTTGCGTTGAAGTGGAACTAACTGCTCTCCCGCCTCCTTTCATCTCTCGTATTCATTGTGATGAAATGCCTGTCAGACACCTCTTCTTGCTGCCTTTTACTCCGTACTCGAAATCTCACCCGTAGTAGGCCTTTACCTGCAGGCGACTTAAGCTTTCGCCTCCAGCGCCTGCGCCCCTCTCTCATGATCCAGGTATTGGCGGAGGAAGAGATGGCTGCGGAGCCCGGCGTGAGAGCGGCGCTTAGGGATTCATTGCTGGTCGATTCATGCACAAGGGAACCTCGAGCCAGGCGCCGGCGGCGGCGCGACTGCTGAGTGCAATAGGTCTCCTCCTCCATGAACCTATGGCTGGCCGTGTCTACCGTTCGCCCCTTGATCCATCTCCACGCTTGTCTTGGATCCCCGGGGATCAGGCACTCATGCGATGTTGTATGTATTCGTTGTGTTGATCTGTCGGGGCTGACATCTTCCGGTTTTCTTTTTCTTTTGTTTTTTTCCTCTCTCGCCCGTCATATTGTATGCCTCTGGTCGCTCCTTCGCTGCTTCACCAAGCTACTCCATGGTGCTTGTGGGATTGTCTTTGGGATCACTGAGGAGTAATATTTGCACAAGAAGCTCTCCTAGGTCATCCTATTTCCCCTCAGACACCTTGTAATTCTCGCCCAGAGAACTTATCAGCGCGGGACTCTTTCGCCGCCTCCACTTCACTTTCAATAGGGAGAGTTACTATCAAGAAGACAAAGGCTTGCAGGTCGAAATGTCCGCTCTAGGAGAGACTTCGTCTTCAGAGAGACCTTGCTATAAGAGATTCGTTCGAGGATTGCAATTGTATCGCTGTTCAACGGCTGTTGGCAACGGACTCGAAGTTAGCCGACACTCCACTTCTTAGTTATTATCGTAGCGTTCTTTCAAGTACCTAGTGGCGGGCTCCCCTTGTGATCACTTTCGAAATGATGAACTTGTATTTCTATCCTCTCGTCTAGCGAGCAAGGCTGTTGCGCCATTCCTCGTTCTGCTGAACGACCTGTTCTTCCTCTTTCCGTATACAGCGGGGAGTATGCCTCACCAGAGGCGGGAGCCAAGTTGAGAACCATCATGCCCGGGGAACATGGCATTGCACTACCTTGGGCCTTCCGCAGAAGCGTTGATCTTGGTCTTTTTGGCTGCTGTTGGGAGATTTTGGAGTTTGTGCCCCGATGTGACGAAATACCCAGTCATGAAATATAGTACACGAAAAGAGAAGAGAGGAGGAGAAAAGCTCTGTAGATATTGAATAGCTGTCAGGCTGCAAGAAGGTGCGGAGGTTCTGTTCTGCTACGCGTACACTGTGAGGGAAGAGGTTGTTTTGAGGTAAGGTACCTTAGGCCTCATGGCGCGTGTCGGTTGGAAGCTTTCTGCCTGTACATACCTAGGTAGGTGCCCTCTACCAAGCCCCCAGCCCTTATATCAAACGCCAAGCCCTGCAATCCCAGCACGTATAACATTACCGCTCAACCTGTAACAAAAGCACTTTAAATCAAGTAGAGAACGAAATTGCTTCAGTATCGGCACCTAGGCACGCGCTCCTCCTCTACTAAGAACTTCTTCCCTGCACAGCTTGGGTAGTCTGTAATTTTTGCGGCCAGGTGTGCTCCAGCCAGACAATGAACCATCTTTGCGCACACTACAACAATGATCAGCACTCTGGGTATCCTTGCCTTCTCGAGGGAGAGATTTCTTTTCCGTCCAACATCTTCACCTACATTCGGAAACGTTCAATGGCCGTTAGTCTGTACTCGGCGTTGAGGATTTCAACGTCGCCTCCAAAGAATGGCTTCATCGCAACCTTGAGCTCTTCGAGAGTGAACTCCTCCTTGGAGACGTACAGCCGCTCGCGATGCTTAGGGGAGGGGGCCAGCTCATTGCGCAGCCCATCGAACCTATCCGAGTCCTCCCTCGTCCGCTGGGCCGTATCACTCTCCCCATGCGAAACCCTCTCCGCATCGCTGTCTGCGAGAGAGGCCGTGGCGTCAGGTTCTTCGGTCGGCGCTCCCACATCAGGCTTCGTGAACAATTTCGCCGCGTCTCTCAGGGATGGCATGGCAGTCTTTTTGCGCAACCGGTACAAGAAGCTGTCAGGTGGCGGCGTATGGGGAGGATCTTTGCTTGCCATGATTGGATCTCTGGGAGCAGCTGAACGATTCTTTTTAAAGCGTCTGTACCTCTGGTCAGGCCTGGAATGTTGCTGTCGGGTGAGATTTCTGTGACCTGGCTGCGAAGATTCTGTTTTTTTTTTTTTTTCAAGCAAAAAGAAGACCCAGGGGGCTCCAGCCGTATAAATATTCAGAATTTGTCCATGTTACTACAGATATAATATCGAGGATCCACCGTATCTCAGGAGGGAGTGTACCGGAACTAGGTTCAAGTACTCTGGTCTCTTAATTTGATCGGGTTAAAGAACACCAAATAGAGCGGGCTATAAAGTTCCGCAAAGTTACTGCCCACACTCAAGTTCGTTGACAGATACTCTCACAAAATTTGTACCTTTCACTCCTACTGCTATGTAGGGGTCAACTTTCTCCTCTACATATATACATGAGGCTGTAGCAAGATTGCGATCTGATGTACAGTAACGTCAGATTACCCTCAATCTCACTCTATAAAGGCATGTTGAGACCATATTTGTGGTCACACGGCCTCAGTAATGATGCGAATGGTGAATATTTTCATTGAAAGCACCATCTTTGTTATGTAGCGACTCTATTATGTCCTTGTAGTGTGAATTATAGAGCCGTGTTAGCCTACGTGTAGATTTGTTTCAGATTCAAGCAAGACTTCAGACCATCGGGAACTGGGGAACGGCAACAAAGGATAAAATAAAGGAGTATTGTTTGAACGAGGTGCTAATACCTGTTTGCATTGAGTGCACAGTACACAATGTCTATTGCTTGAGCTCTGTACCTGATATCCCAACAGCCGAGAAGCGGATTTGATTGGTCAGCCGGTTTGGCTGCCGGTCGCTGATGCACGCAATCACCATTGGCTAGCTTGTTACCCGAAATATGGGTCCGGTGCATTGTAATTGAGACACTCGAACAATAAGCTGCTTATTCTCGAGTCTGCGACCGGTATTATCAAATTATTGAGTGCCAATAATACATGCTTAAGAAATAATACGGTATATATTGTCACTTATTTCAATTCAAGACATACAATACGACGGTTTTTAGCTGAGAGTGACCCGCTCGGCTGCTGGTTCCACTAGTTCCTCCACCGCCAGAGAAATTAACATTCATCGGCCCCATCCGATCCGATAATCACGCTGATCGGAAAGCCAAGCAGGAGGCACAGACTCGAACTTAGACCTGCCATCAACTCCCAGATCAATTGCCCCGCGGGTGTCAGTCCTTCCTGAGCGGCCGCTACACACTCCGTTGGGCGAATAGACGAAGCGCCTCGGTGTCTCACTCACTGGTCTGCATGACGTGACGTCAGCAGACGACCAGAGAGGCTCGAGCACGCACAGCACAAAGGAAAAATCAGCAGAGCGGTGGGGGGTTCATGAGGGGCTTCACCTCCCGCTCCAGTCAGCCCACTCCTGCCCGCTCATCGCCAATCCACCCGCCGCCAAGTCCAGGCTTGTCCGAGGCCAGCTTCGCATAGCCGTCGAGTGACTCTCATACGGAAGGGAAAGAGAAACAAGTTCGACAGGAGTGACTCTCATACGCTCATCAGTGTCCGAAATGGCATTGCCCCCCTGTCTGTTCGCTGTGGTGCCGCCGCCTGCCGCGGAAAAGGTCATCATCGACGAGTATGTCTTCGACCCCAACGGAGATACCCAGTACATTCTGAAGAACCCCGACAAGCCCGTCTGGATCGACATTTCCAACAGGAAGCGCATGATTCGTTCTCCCGGGCCCCCGGCTGAAAGTGAAAGCAAGCGAGCTAGAACCTTGTCAGGCAAACATGCCCAGCCCGGCTCTGAGAACCTTCACCTTGAGCCCCCCAATGAGATCCATTGTAAGGTGTCTGGGGCTCATCTGGGGTTGGCAAGCCCCGTCTTCCGCACAATGATAACGGGCCCCTGGTCCCAATCTTCTCTCGTGCCTGCCGACGGGAGCCAAGAGGGCAGCTTGCGCCAGCTCACCTCCAGTGAGTGGGACAGCGACGCAATCTTGATCATGTTCCACATCATGCACGGTCATCACAGGAACGTTCCCAAAACTGTGACCCTCAGGATGCTCACTTCCATAGCCACAGTGGTCGACTACTACCAATGCCACGAGATCTTTGAGATCTTCGTTGACCAATGGATTGCGGCACTTCAGAGGGAGAATTCTGTTCCGCCGAGAAGCGTCTTTGGAGAAGATGTCATCCGTTGGCTTTCGATTTCCTGGGTGTTCGCTCGCCCCGAAATTTTCAATGTCATGGCTGAGACAATAATCAGATTTTCCACTCATCCAATCCTTGTTCCGGATCTTCCAGTCGCTCCTGCTCTAGGTACCTACCTATCTCCTTCCCATTCATACTGCTCTCTCAATTAACCCGAATTACAATAAACAGGCATGCTCGAGGTCAGAAGGCAGGAGCTGGTTACCAAAGTGTTCACTTATGTCGCTCGGATTCACAAGGCCTTGTGCATGGGCCAGACGAATTGCACTATACCTGATTGCGCCTCAATGCTCTTAGGAACTCTGGTCAGAGCCACGCAAACGCTCGATCACCTCAAAAACGAGGAGACACGCCCCGCCGATGGCTACTCTCTTTCCAGCATTCTGGAGACTCTCTCGAGCTATCGGAGACCCAACTGGGCTTCGATCCGCCACGACCCCATTGGGAACCCTATCCCTACGGTCCATCGATGCTCACTTGAGCAGTTCCTCGTGCGACCCCTCAAAAAGATCGAGGCGGAAATCAAACTTGGTGCCTTTGACATTGTTACAAAGGCCGTGGGCACCTCGGCTAGTAATCCTACGTCAAAGATGAGGAACCCTACCATATCGAGCAAACCTATCAGAAGAGTCGAGGAGCGCCCAAATGCCTCTTAAACATTAAGCTGCTTATTCTCAAGTCTCGACCGGTATTGTCGGATTGTTGAGTGCTAATAATACAGTCCTCGGAGATAATACGGCATATATTGTCACTTTTATTTCTTTTTGCACTACTGAGTTTCTCTATTCACGCGGAAAGTAGTCTATTTATGACCCCTCTTCCTTTAAGTGTCTCCTGGCACCCTCTTGCTTCGGTTATGATTGACATTTGATTTTAATGATTTCATGGTTTTCTGGGAGCGAACACCCGGCCAAAATTTTGCAGGGAAGGTGTAGGCTTGACGACTAATGACAAACAAGCTAACAAGCAAACTTGCGTCTTTGAACTACCCATCCTTGTGTCGTTGGTGAGAAGGGTGCAAATATTTTCAAAGGAGTTACTATCAGCGTTCTTGAATAACTATATGATTTAATTACAAACTCAAGAGTGTTCATTTTGTGCATGCAATTCGAACAAGAAAAATAGAAGGGAGGTTTTACAAGCTGAGATAGAATTTCGATTTTTTTTAAGTCGTAAAGTGTCCTGACAAATTGAATTTATCACAATCTACAGTTCCAATGGGAAAGCGCTTGATTCTTTCTCCAGGCGCATTTCGAAAAGAATGGAAAGTTTATAAGCTAAGATGTAATTTCCATCTGAATTAGAGTAATTACGCATAACGATCCAACCGGATGTTGGAGCATGTTGGAATTGTCAGATTAGTGTTCGACATTTAAATGCTCCAGGCTCTAGGGTAAGTTATAGGGAAGTGCAGACGGTCACCCACTTGACAAGATGCATCAATTGGCTGGGCCACTTCTTACTAAGACGCATGAAGAGAACATGCCTGTACTGTCTGATGGGCGCTAGAAGGCATGCTTAGTTACGGCAGGGAGAGGTGAAACATGGGAGCAATTGCTGCACGGTCTCGTGCTATTGGTCACTCCACTGCTCGAGGACAGAAGGTCTATTTTTGTACCAGCGCGTTAGCACCGCTGGAGAGAATTTGCCTCGGCGAGCTGATGGCAGCTATTAGAGGCTTATCGTGCTGTAATCGCCAGTGCGAGGGAATTTCAGCGCAGGTTGGACGAGACACATCAGAGCATAAGACAAAAGGCCAATCCTTCTGCTCGATCTGCTATCCATCTCCAATATTACGGGGCTCGATGCTCTTATTTTCCCTGCTTCCAGCAGCCAGATGCGACCTTGGTGCTGTATCCCTGGTCCTTGCAGTCGCCGATGATGGAGCAGAGGTACAGATACTTGGAATTAGCGGGCACTCTCACCAGATCCTAGGTACCGGGACTTCCCTCGGTGTCTCATCACAGCCCCTTCATAACTCCGCATCGTCTTACGGATCATCCTGGATCATCCTGGCGGCTACGCAACATTCATGCCAGCCAAGCCTTGACAGCCATGTCTTGCAGCCAATCACTCCCCCTGGGGGTTAAGGCCCCCAATTCTCGCAACTAAACGTACAATCTGGGCTGCTGTTTGACATCGTCATATGTAGGACCCCGTAAGCCTCCGCCCACCCTTCCCTCACCTCGATCTTCCCCGCCACCATCATTCGATGGCCAGCTTTGCTTCCTTTCCTGACTGAAATCGCCATGGAAGCCAAGATGCAGTACGGCGGCGAAGACTTCAGTCCGCCAAAAGGCCAACCGCCCGGAACCGTCTATACTATCCAGCAGGTATCCTCGCCGACGACTACCTTCCAAGGGTACGATGGCTCCGAGAGCGTCGCCAAGTCCGAGGCCGTCCGGCCCATGAACCGCCAGCGACTCGCCCTCTTCCTCACTGACATCGTTTCCGTCATTCTCTGCCTCGCTCCCCTGATTTTCGTATGCGTCGTTGCGGCTCTGGATCGAACGGATCTCGACAACCGTTATGACGGCTTCCAGACCGCTCTCACTACTCTCGGCCCACTGTTCCCAATGGTCTTCGCCTTCATCACGAGTCGGCTACTCTTCCAGATCGCTCGCCAGAGACTCGAGAGGGGATCGACGTTAGAGACATTGGAGCAGCTCATGGGCAGCCGGACCCTGGGGTCAACTCTGGAAACCCACGCAGAGCTTCAGATCGTCAACCTGGCGGCCGTGGGCCTCTTCATCATGTGGGCCTTTTCTCCCCTCGGTGGCCAGGCTCTCCTGCGGGTTCTCTACAAGACAACGACACCCATCGAGACGAAGATGAGGTACTGGGATACTACCGAGGCGAGCTCGCTTAGTAGCTTTTCGCTCTTTACCAAGTCTACTTACTACACAAGCCTATATGCGCACGATGATATTCGCCTGGGGCCTGACGATCCCTGGGGTAATGTCAAGATCCCGTTCCTGGACACCGATGCGACGCCCGATGACCAAGGCTGGAGAGGACTGGCAGCCGATTCGGCCGTCAAGTATTCGGCTTTGGTCGGTATCCCGACCGGAAATACGACCGTGGGCAATAGCACCTTCAACATCGAATCCACGTATATCGACCTGGTCTGCGAGGCCTTTAAGAAAGAGGCGGTCGCGAGCGGTACTACACAGAATATTAGTCGCAGTGAGGTGCCTTTGACGACCTTGACTGCCGGGTCGAAATCGCTGGCAAATGGGACATGGTACGGGTCACAGCACAACACATCGGCAACCGATTCATTCTGGAACTTGGCCCTGAACAGGTTCGTCGGTTCGTCCTGGCAAGGCACGATGACCAACGTCTACACCATGAACGCCCTCTCTCGCTTCATAAACGAGACTGGTATCGAGGCGGGCCCAACAAGGCTCCTCTTCCAGGCAAGAAGGAACCAGACCGGATCCCAGACACTTAAAGGCGAATCCCACCAATCCGAGTGTCAAGTCCTCCAGAAGTATGTCGAGTCGCAGGTTGAGTGTTCAAGGCCCACTCTGAGCAGAAGGCCGACTTGTCAGGTTGTGCGCCAGCGACCATCGCAGCACAACCTCATGCCCGAGAACTTGTCGGTTCTCTCGACCCCAAACATCTTCACCAGGGTGACAACTGACCTCCCATCGCTGCTCATCGAGTCCTACGATCAGATCCTCCCTTACCTCTACAACCAGTCAGTCTCAGCCAAGGACAGTCTAGTCACGCCAACCCCTGATTTCACACTGGCCAACCTCAACAACTTCAGCAAGGCTCTCAGCCAAGTCCTCAACTCGTACCTTCTGGTCGTGCAAGCAAACCTGGACATATACAAGGACCTAAACGTCGCCGCGTGGGAGTTGGAAGACAAGGACCCCAACACCAAGATGAGGCTCACCATCTGGAAGCCCTCGCCGGGCGAGACGACCGCCGTCCGGTACGTGTACCGGATCAACTGGGGGTGGATGTCCGCCTGCATAATCGCCTGCGTCATCCTGGCCCTCAACGGCGTGGCCGGCATCTACTTTGCGCACTCGGCCGTCGGGCCCGAGGTGCTGGGCTTGGTCTCCTCGTCGCTCAGGGACTCGAGGTTCCTCGACATCCCGAGGGAGATCCGCCACCTCGACGGGTACCACTTCTCGCAGCTGATGAAGCTGAAGCGGTTCAGGTACGGGCACACGTCGCAGAGCACGCCGGACAGGCCGGTGCTGGGCATCGCCCTGCAGGAGGACGTGGGGAAGCTTCACTGAGGGAATGATTTGAGTCACGGAGCGCGTGTTTGCGAATTTTGGATTTAGTTATTTATTCATTAATTTTTTGGTTTGTGAATAGAAAACTATTATTATTAAGATTGAAGAATGACCACAGATCAGCCGTAAGACCACCCCACCTCGTGGGATTGCGCGGCGACGATGAGCATGAACCACATTGCCAAGTTGATCGTCCATCGAAGTTACCGATACAGTGGTTGCTATATGGAATTGCGACGTATTCCATAATATGGTCTTCTCTTCTTCTTTTACCCTTGGTGGGTGTGCTGACATCAGGAAATGATGTGGTTGTAGACTGGGGTTTCCACCGAATGTTCAGAATCGGAGGGAGCTATGCCATCAGATGGAAGCTTGTCGTTGGATAACTGACTCCTTTTTCTTATTATTATTTTCGGAGTCTTGGTTTGATACCTCTCTGATAGGGGATAGAGCTTGACCCTGTAGCCGCAAGTGTTTTGAGGGAATCGCAGTCTCTTCTTTAAGGGGCTGGTATTTCCACAGGACATGAGAGCTATTTCCGGCTGCGATGTATAAACCATAGGGCGAGGTTAATAGTCCATTCTTTATATAGTAGTTTATGATAGACGCCAGGATAGAGAGTATGCTATAGTCTTCGTCTGGCGAAACATGCGACGTAGTATACCATGGGATGAAGTTATGCCCGTGAGTGACCTGAATTGGCCAAGCCCCAATCTGTTATTGTCCTTAAAATCCCATTTGGACGTAGCCCCTAATCGTCATGGGCACAGGCTGCTGCTGAGGCGGCGGAGGCGGCCCTCGGATCGGGAAAGGCACCGGCACTTGTTCCATTGTCACCGGAGGTATCAGTGCACTGGGCACCTCGAAGCTCAGACCGACCATTCGATCTCGGAAGGCCTGCACCAGATACAGCTCATATCTGTATGCTTTCAGAAAGTGACCCCTCAAGTTAGTCCTGTGGATTTGTGGGAGTCTCTTGCGCCCGCAGTATAAAGCACATGATTTGCTAGCCTCGTTCTTGCTCGGCGGATTGCTGACCACCGAGTCGGCGGCCCTGTAGAGGAACTCTAGGTCGTCCGTGGCAATGTAAAAAAACGTTCCTGGGCTCAGGTTCTCGGCCGCATTGGAGTCAGCTTCCTCTTCGAAAACCCCGTCTGGCGCCAAACGAATCGAGAGATCACCATGTCCCTGCGTCCGCCGGTTGGGCTGAGAGCGAAGATGCGCGTTGAGCTGCCGGCTTTGATCGTCTGAAGGACGCAGGAGCTGTGGGTGCATTGGCCGGCGGCTGACGTTGCTGCATTAGCAAATTTATTGCGTTTGCTATTCCATCTCCGAGTTGCGGTCGTCGTTGAGTAGTGACCGGATGAGTGACCGAGAGATCGCCCAGCCCTGGATCACACGTCATCGTGCCGCCCCTGGGACGGGCTTATGTGGAAGTGGGAAACCGGAAAAGCTTCTGAAACGTGCGTCGACAGCGGTGAATGGGCTCTGGCGTCCTCGCAGCCAAGACCGTGGGGCGCTTTCTTGGGGGCCATGGCCTTCGTCTTCGACTTGGGGAGTTTCTTCCTCATGTTGTTCTTTAGATTTTCGCCTTTGCTAGCTTGCTCAGCATGAGGGCTGTTTGCCAACCGTCGAGGCAGTGTCGAACAATGTCGTGAGCGCCTGTATGATTGTATCTGCGCTGCGGGTATTCCTGAGCTCAGCAAGATGGAGGCTTTCGTGGCTTGATGCTACTTTCGATTATTAATATGTAAAAAGAAGCAACAGGCCAAGCCATCTGGAAGATAAACCAAGACGGCCCCTTCAACTTTCGCCATGGTTCTTGTCTTTATTCGAGACTTGCCGTGCCCAAAGTAGGGGGTGGCTGTTCGGCAGCATCCCCCGAGGCTGAACCTCTTGACAGCTGGGTGGTATGTCGCCTTCTTAAATCCATTATTGGACTGTTGTGTTTTTATATGGACAACAACATCGAATTTAGAAGGATTTCGGGTGTTGAAGATCCTTCTGATGAGCCCGGGCTCGCACTCACCCTTAAACGTTTCGGTACGGCCGGGTATCAAAGGGTGAGTATCTCGACTGTAGGCGGACAATGGCGAAATAAATGTACTAGTGAGGCAACACCCGCATGGGTAGAAAGGCGACATGGATGCAATCTCCAACACCTTCGGTGAGGGTCCGCTGTCTGGGAGAAGATATGACTTCCAGCATCCCTCCGGACTACGTAATCATCTTCGCTCTCCAACCCAAGAGATGATTTGTTGAAGTTTCGGTGTAGGGCGAACGGGCCAAAGTCTGGCATTGTCGGAGCGCGGGACCACAATGGTTGCCTTGTTATTCCTCACCAAGAACGTCCACGTTGTTTGTATCAAACTGGACCTGGCCCGCCCTCTCACCATCCGCAGAGGAGATTAGTGGTGGTGGTGATGGTGGTGGTGTGGCAACCTGGCGTTCTCGATTGCATACATGCTTTTTGAACGCCGAAGAAGACCAACGAGCGTAGCATGAGTAATGAGTGGCGAGGAAAGGGATGTGTGATTATTTGTTATTAAGTTATTATTTATGTGAGTTGTTGGATGGAGCTAGAGGGGGGAAGTAAGGAGAGGAGGGCGGTATTTATGTGCAAATGCCTGCAGGAAAATGAGTTCGCTTCACAAACGCCCTTTGTTGGTATGAAATAAGGGCGGTTAGTTTGTATAAAGTCTAGTTCGTGGTCCGAGCCTAGCCTCGGTTGTCCAGTCATTGGCTAAGCAGGTGAAAATGCGGATCTTGATTCGTTTGGGAACTCACTCTTTGTTTCGGAAGAGGGTGATGAAGAGCTAGCGTATTGTCAATCTTGCAGATAGCGGATCTAAAGGAAAGTGTTAGTTCTAGAACTCTGGTACAAGATTAAGCACAGTGGAAGTATCGGGGAGTTGAATGCGAAAGTGTTTGAGGTTTGGGAGGCATTCGCTGTCGGATTCTCAGGAGTTGGTGTTGTCTTTCAACTGATACCTTGAAGAAGAGCTAAGACTGTCGTAACTATCCACGGTCAGCTACTTCTTATGCGTCAAGTTGTTTCATAATAGTTTGCCACAGAATTTCGGTTAATAACCTCAATTGGCATCTAGTTAGACTATGCCTATCAATGGATGCAGCATCTTGGAGGCGAATAAAACCAAGTCGAATCAAATCAAATCCAATGCAAACTAACGCCTGATGCAAATCAAAGCTCGATCGTAACTCGATGGTACCCCTTTCATATTATTTTCGTGTTCCAAAAATCAATCTTAGCCAATAGATGTTAACAGTGACGCGTTTGTTGTATCGACCACTTACTACCCCAATGAACCTCATGACTCTCATGCCCACTTTCCTAAAATAGCCATTGCTACAATGCCGGAGTAAAGCGAGGTGAAAGCAACCACAAGCCTCTGCTTATCCCATGACTGGGCGTTTGAGAGAATGTCCCGTGCCAACATCTCGACAAAGCCAGTGTACAGCAGGATACCGCTTGAAATAGAATCAAGAACACCGGAAATGACTTGGGCTTGGAATGAGTCGCTGTCATATGTAGTTCTCAGACCCAGGCCGATGGCGAGAGCGATTGGTGTTGTCAGCCCGTAAGCCAGAGCCAGCACGTACGGCACAAATCGGTATTTCCTTGGGAATGGAATTGAACTAAGACGGGCTCCGATACCAAGTCCCTCGAAAGCTTGGTGGAAGGCAATGACGGGATACAAGGTTGAGAACTCTTTTCCAACAACTCCGAGATTCACGCCAATGATGCCAGAGTGGAAGAGCACGCCGAATTCGAGGATGAGGAACGCTGCCATCTTAGAGTAGAAAGCTGGTAGGTCGTCTTCGGCCGCATGAGCTTGTTCGCGGTGGAGTGGTATCTCTGCCAGGTTGTGGGCGTTGGGAAACGCTGCTTGGTCTCGTGCAGATTCTTCGCCGCGTTCGAGAAGAGGCTCGATCGATCGTCTGGGGTCCTTATCCCCTTCAAGAACAAAAGGCTCCTCCTCTTCTGCTTTCCGGGACCCGAACTTCTTGCTCACGTAGTAGTCGGCGAGGAAGTCAACGAGAAAGATGAACATGGCTGATGTCATTGCTAGGGCAGGAGGCCAGCTGTAGCCTTCCCACCCCTCGGTCAGGCCAACACAGCTGGCGGGACCGATTTCTTCGTACGCTGGATCAAGCAGGTGAATAAAGGCGGTGGCGATGATAACACCCGAGCCAAAATGGCGAGCAATCAGGTACAAGTTGGGGGGGATGCCGAGCCGGCGGGCATTCGCGGCGAGGACCGGGAACATGGTGGCGGCGGTGGAGGTGACAAGCAGAACGAAGATGGCGGCCACTCGCGAGACCAGAACGGAGCCTGGCTCATCTTCCTCCTTGGGCTTGTTGAGATAGCAGATGACATCTCGAAGGCTGGCTTTGTCCAAGTCAACGTTGTGCGGGAAGGACGACATGATGGGTGATGGGTGATGGGAGGGAAAGTCAGTATGGGGGCCTTTGCCGTGATGTTAAAGGTGGCAGCAGGTCGAGAGCGGCATGCTGTAGCTGCACGGCGAGATTGAGTTTCTGGGCTGCTCCTAGCTGACTTATATCGGCAGCCTGGTCACTCAATCACCGCGGCGCTTGAAGCCATCAAGGTTCACGCACAAGTGTGGACCGCCGTGTGAGCATCAAGTCAGCAGGGCAAACACGGGCTGAAGTATCCATTAAACTGGATGCTTAGGGCACATATGCACTGCGAATGGGCGATTCCTATGGCACGACGAAGGGTGACTTGATGCCGTCTCCTGGATACCTGCCCCCTGGAAATCAGGGGGGCGGGGAGAAGTTGCACAGTCGAGGCCCCTAAAAGAAGCATAATGCACGGCAGGAGCTTAACCAGTGATCTCCTCTGGGGCTTTCCCGGGCCGAAAGCTGGTGCCAGCCATCAAGGTCCTTGGAGGAAGCCAATGAAGGCTTGCACATAAGACACCCCGGCTGAACCTACTGATAGGAACCTACGAGACACTCCCCGCTGATGACTACTCTCCTTCCAGCATTCTAGAGGCTCCCTCGAGCCACTGGGTCATACTAGCCCCAAAGTCGCAGCTCGAGTACTGTAGCACCCTCCAGTGGCCTATTTCTAGGTGGAGAAGCGTCTTCCGCACAATGATAAACTTCTTCTCACCTGCAGATACACTCCAACCTCCTTCCCCACAACAACTCCCGCACCGCCAAAAACATCGTCCCGAATGTTCGCACCCATCCATCTGATCTCATGAATACCAAGCCACGCTCGTGTCCCTCGTAGGCGAGTAAGCAATACGACACATGTTGCGAGATACATCCGACTACCTGGTTTCCCTGTCTACCCGTGCCCGGCTAAGTGGGAAATCAACTGCACATCTGATAGAAGCTCGACCAAAGTCTCGCACATACGAAGTCCAAATGACGATCACAAGAGAGGAAGTCGAACAAAAGCACGAAGATCTCCTCGGCAAACCGGATCATTCAGGCATGCTGACCAGAAGGATCTGGCTAACCAAAGCCTCCGCATGACCACCAAAGGAAGCTTTGGACATAGCAAACTCAGTTCTGGCCTCGCGCACCAAAAACCCAAACTCAGAGCACTCGCCGCCCCCAGCCAAACCTTACTTTTCCCTGCGGTCCTGTCATTACCATGGAACTGGTAAGTGTTTCACTGGCGGCGCCATTTTTTCAACAGGGTGCTAACAGATTTCGCTCACAGTAGGCGCCTGTAAGGCAGGTATAGGTAGTTCGAAAAGCAGTTCATCTTGCTATTGCTGCTCCATCATGTGCTACTTGTGTATGCTCAAGTGGACCCATCTCAAGCAGGTTGATTTGCACGAGAGAGGATGACACAATACTTCGAGTCACCATCCCTCAAACGTCCAGTTGGCCATGGTATGGCCTGGCTGGCAGATAGTGGCGACAACTGAACTACTTTCTCTCGCAAACGCAAACAACAGCCCGAACTGGCCTTATACGACCAGATCAAGCTGCCGACCGATTTGATGATGTAGTTCCTCCAGACCCTAAATTTGAATTGCGTGGAGAAGCTTAGCGTTCGCGACGACGCCAGTTGCCACCCCTAACTGAAGGAATCCGCCCCTTCAATGAAGGTAGCAGGAGTGGTTACCCCCGCTGACGAACCAGAAATCTCCGTGTATGAGTTGATCGAGAGCCCGAGCGACGCCGTGTACGCCCTCATGGCCATCGTGGAGAAGAGGCACGACAAGAAGCCCGCCGTCAAGCGGTACAGCCCCCTTGCGTACCGCACCTTCACTGAGAAGCGCCTCCCCAAGGTCAAAGAAAGCCGAATTGCTTCATGATCTTCTATGCCAAGTTTCGCAGGGGCGAAGCGATCCGGAGACGACCCAATGCTTTGGGTTGCCCAACGCCTAAGTATGTGGCAGGGCAGCCCTCGAAAGCAATCTGCAGACGACCCAAAGTCTGGGGTTGCCCAACGCCTAAGTATGTGGCAGGGCAACCCCCGGGGAAGCAGCAGATACTCAACATCGGCGACGCCGCCCAGCTGGCAGAGCGCAAGACAAAGAACGACCCTGGCGACTACCGCGCCATGGTCCAAGAAAAGGCGAGAGAGCGGTTTATGAAGATGGGTTAGATGGGTACAACTCATCAACACCCCCAGAAGAGCTCGCTCCTTGAGACGTGGTTACTTTGGACAAGAGAAAATGAAATTTTCAACTTGGAAAGAGTAATAGTCAATGTGGACAATCACACCTGACTTGCTTGGGAAGGACTTGAGAGGAACCTTCTGTTCTTTTCAGTTTAATCTCTGAAAGGTCTCTTCTCTAAGGAGTCCAATCGTGACTATCCCTTTTCTTGGCAGGAGTCATGCCGACGAAAGAGTCATTGCCGGTCAGATCCTTCCGTCGACGTATCCTGCCTACTCAGCATGTTCGACAACTTCCATTTCTTCGTCCCCTACGATGGCCGCGACAACGGGTCGGGAAAGGATGGAGAAACAAAGCCCTACCTTTTCAGCCCCCATCTCGTCTTCGTTTGAAGAGTGAGGAGGTTCACGAAAACTGGAAGGTCGGACCCTGCTCTCCTTGGATCACCCCGATCCGAGGAAGCATATTTCCCGTGATGGGTTGCCCAACGCCTAAGTATGTGGCAGGGCAACCCTAGGAAGGAATCCGGAGACAACTCAAAGTTCTGGGTTGCCCAACGCCAAAGTATGTGGCAGGGCAACCCTCAAAGAACGGCGATGTCTACTGCCGTGCCTGGCCCAAGGCAGACTCCATCCTGTACATCCCTCTGGCGATGTTTTGGGCCGATGCCGTATTCACCGGTGGCTGCATTTGGCCAGTCTGGTGGAACAGGGCTGTTCGCTCTATTCCCGCACATGATTCAACCCACAGTGTCCCTGGTATTGCACTCCTGTGGCCGAAGACATGGCCCGAGGACTGGCGCAAGAAGGATCTGCGATACTTGGCTGTTCACGACGCCTGCGGACTTTGTGCAGGTAGCTTTGTTTTCTGCTGTTCGCATTCCTCGCATCACAGCCCTCAGCCACCTCCCAGCGGACCTGATCGAGTCCTTCATCCAGAACGAGTACGCGACTCTCAAATGAGTCTCGGAAGCTGGCATGGGAGAGAAAGAGAATAAAGTTCAACAACAATGGAAGCTGCCAGAGCCCGACAACTCAACACAATAGACAACAACTTGGAGACATTCCGCCATTTTCCTACCACACTCAAGCTTATGGTTGATGGTTTCGGAGTTGGTCACAAGGTACCTGGGGCAAAACCTGATGTGAAAGTCATCGACATGTCCACCTCAACCTCTGCCTGCGGCCCCGGCGGTTGATCAACCTTACAGCAAAAGACCGTGTCGATGCCGACGCCATCAATTTTGAACAGGAGATCATTGTCCTCCTCCGTTCACGACGACTTCCCTCTTACCGATCCTGACGGTGTCCAATTTTGGAGACGAGTCTAGCGGCATAGAGGGCCATGTTGACGGTTTAGACACTCCTATATGTCTAAAGCCTCTGATATCAGGGAGCTCCAACTACCTCCCTCGCTTCGACTTTGACGTTGGGTTCTCGGAGGCCCAAAAGAAGCACGACGTGGCACGGGCAGGCGCCCGCGTTTCCCGAAGACATCGCTTCTTTCAGAGCCAGAGACGTGGCCAGAGGAATATTCTAGCCCTCTGGATTGATCATGGCAAGGGATGACGGTGATCCCACTAGAGAATCCTGACGCTAGGGAGATCCTACGACTTGGGAAAAGTAAGTTACGAACGCAGGACTAATCACTCGGTCAGGCAGAACAAAAACCCCCGTCTCATTAGCTAAATAACCCACTAATCCATCTGCCTAGGTGCTTTGTTTACTTTACAACCTAGCATGGGGGACAGGCGGTGGTAGCGGATTGGCAGGAGAGTCTTGAAGTTCGATGTGTCAATCTTTAGGCTGGCATCTCTCTTTGCGCAGCAGGCACGGGCTTCTAGAAACTAATCAAGTCGTGCTTTTAGCGAGACAAGGAGAATAACCTAAGGGATCTCGAGAGCGAAAAGCGCGAGCTTGATGGCCGCTTCAGCGAGCTCAAGACCCAAGGATTGGCTAAAAGAGACGAACTGAAGGGGCTACGGGGGGGATCGAGGCCTTCGATACCCAGGAGGTGGCCGTGGGCACCTGCAAGAAGCCAGAGCCATCTAGGGGTGGAGGTTGGTTAGCAGCAAGAGCGCCAGCAAGAGCGCCAGCAAGAGCGCCAGCAAGAAGAGCAACCTAAGCATAATCGCCATGGTCTCTTGGTAGAGGAGCTGCCAAAGTTTAGCCCGAGACGACGCTTTCTGACTGAGGCATCCATAGAAATTCCAATACATACAAGAGATCAGATTTCATTCTACAAATTGCCGCTCTCTCCTTTCATATTCGAACCAATCAGATGAGGACGAGAGTTGAGCTCTTCCCGATGTAGATCAAAGGTTCAGATGATGATAAGGTTTCAACGATAGTGAAGAACTTTGCCCTTCTAATGTAACATCATGAAAACTGCGTTAATAAGAAGACCGTTTGCAAATGAATTGACTGCTAGGTTTTTCCTGGAATTGCTACCACTTCTGGCGATACTTAATGAACAAGCCCGCATTATTCGCACAAAGCTATACCCGTATAGTCACACCCAAAATCCAAACAGTGATCTATTGAAACCATTCCAGACTCTGAATAAGGCTTCCGCTAAAGTCCACGAGGCTAACGTACGAATCTCAATCTCCGCCTACCAACATTGAAAGCCCCCTGAAAGACGCGCACGATGAATCTAGGTGTGGCTACGGTGATCCCCTTTAAAAGCGTTGTCAGTACTCATGAAACAAACCATAAGAACGTAAACCTACCGGTACAGTTTCACGATGGAAATATTTGCCCTCAAGGGCCACCCAGCGTTGGCATTTAGTTCCCCCTTTGGAGATATCGCCTTCGCGCACGGGCAATCCACCTGCCAGGGACAGATTGGCGTGAGGCTTTGATGCACCATACTCTAGGCTATCCTTTTTGACGGATCCATAATTGCCTTTTGGATCCGCTTGTGACTGGTTGAGTTTCGAGATCGGATCTAGAGAGCCAAAGGCGTGCAAGGTTAGCAAGCCCGCAACAGGTAAGATGAGTTATAATCAGTCACAATCACATGAAGAGGTCCCATCCTGTGCAGCAGTGCAATTCTTTCCCCTTGCTACGAGTTCTAGCGATGATAGTGAGGACAGTCGCAATAGTCGACTAGACGAGATATCCGCTAGTAATAGAGGCTCCGCATGTTTAGGCTAAGGAGGTGGGCGTTCCATTCTGGGGAGTAAGTCATCCAAACGATGGAATGTCATTGGGTAGGGGGCGAGTCTTCCAGACAGGAGTGATCCTTCCGGTGGGAAGTGAGCCCTCCAGGCAATGGGAACCTGCTCAAAGTTTTGAGTCAATTTTCCAAGTTTGGAGCGAAACGTTGCTGATAGGTAGAGCGTGGCTGCACACTACCCAACCAATCCAACGATCCATGCTCGACTGAGAAGACTAACCCCCTACTTTGAGCACGTTCCAATTGCCTGGAGGGCTCGCTTCCCACTGGAAGGTTCGCTCCAATCTCTCTCCCTACTCTACTCAATGACTCCGGCCCCAGCTTGGTAGACTGTTCCCATGAAAGACCAATCCACGAACAGAATTGTTTGAGTGGCATCAAAGTTAAACACTCTTGGTCCGGGGATAATGAAACAGCGTAAATGACTCGAACTAGGATTGATAGGGGAACTAAAAATCATCACAAACATTAATTAGCTAACATGCCTTGTTATTGTCTCCAGTGCTAGAGCTCACCTCGAACTAATAGCTGCAGTATATCACCGTAGAGGTTCTATTCTCGAATGGCGTTCAAATCGGAGCCAGGTCGGCTGGAACCAATGCAATGCGGCAATCTTCGGATCGAGGAACGCTTGTGACAGGTTCAGCTTGGGGCACGCAGCTCGGGGCATTACTGCGTAATATCTGAGTGCACGTACAAGAAGAGTAGATCGGCTCACCAGACCATCGGATCCTCTGACCGGGGTATGTGGCATCAACCTCTTCGTCCGTGGCCCTAAGCAATACGGTACGCCTCGAGGATTCCCACCAATGAAAATAGCGTAGGAGATGTGCCATCGGGTATAAGAAGTGGCAGGAGAAAGCACCTCGTTGTTTCTCCTTTCACCGTAAACGAGCGAGATGGACAGTGCTGCCCAAGTCGCACGTGGCCCAGAAAATGTTTCTTTCGAGCTGTTTAGTTGTGTCAACATTCTTTCATAGCTCATACATGAACAATGGCATCGTCTCGCATGGTCGAACGCGGCTCCTCGGCTGCTAGAGATGGTTTCTTTGTTGTTTGCACTCGGGCCGTGAATGTTCGCACCTTAGCTAATTTGCATGACCATCGCCCTGAAATCTAGCTTTTGCTGCTAGTTTTACTCTCCATCGTTCTCAGTCCTCGAGTTGCGAGTGTTGCGTTCCCGCCCCCTCTCGCCCCTTTGTGTTAATATTTCGAGATGCTTTTCTCTCAACGTCTGGTCACCAAGTGAGAGAGCTCTTCAGGTTATGCAGCAGTTGCTGGAAAGAAGAAAAGAAGAAGTAGACGAAAGGGAAGGGGGCAAGGGGGAAGGGGCGTCCCCAATTTGGGATATTGATGTATTTCGCAAGGCGTCCGCGGACAAGTTTGCCGATTTGTATGATGCAGATTCTAAGCAGAGCTCAATGGAAGCTCGTAGTAACTGTAGGTAAGGTAGCCAGGCAAGACTGCCACCACGTGACCCCCAAATATGTTCGGGGAAGGAACGACCAGTCCGGGAAGTCCTAGCCAAGTACCCCAGTTGCCTGAGGCATCAGGTGTTCACAACCCTAAGCCGTAGTCCAGCCTCTGCAAAGAATTAGATTGGCATCTATCATCCAGCCGGTGATGCTGTGTGCTTATCGAAATCAACATCTGTGGCTTTCAAAACGATCATCGGCCAGCCCATCGGCTACACTCAACGATGGCTAGAGGGAGATGCTTTTCAATCTGGCTAGGTACTTCGCCTACTCTCTCTTTGCATTTTATCCATCTTCAACAGGTACTAGCTCTATCCAAAATTGCCAACAAATCTCTCGCATCATATCTACTGAAGTGATGACGTTCATGAGATACGCAGCAGTTAGGATGCGTAACGAGGAGTAACACAATATGGGTCAGATCTGTCCCATCACTGCAGAGAATATAGCCGCTATCAGCTCACTTGACAGGAAGTACGAAAATCCTAACTACCGTCAGGCGTCGAATGATAACAACTCGTCTACCCTTGGGAAATTGGACGGCATAAAACGTTCATCGTCGTAATTCGATAGCGAAGATGGCACATCTGCCGCCTCCGGTGCTGTGAAAGGTATGTGACATACATTTCAAACATCACGATAATTGCTCATGGTTGGCTTAGGCAGTAGCACTCTAAGGCACAGAAGGATGCACGACTCGGCGATGTTGTTGTGCGTTCTCCATCTCTCGACAAAAACGGAATTATACAATACGACTTCGACAACGCGAGTCCGCTGTCAAGATCTGCGGTTGCCAGTCATTTGATTCAGCATTTGTCCCCCTTTGGTAGGGTTGTTGAGGATCTTTAGGATGTACTGAGTCTCCCCGCTGATGCTTGGTACATCCTAAAGATCCCCAATAACCCTACCAAAGGGGGCCAGATGCTCAATCAAATGACTGGCAATCGCAGATACTTGGTAATATGCCCTGCTGGAGAATTCCAGCAACGAGCCAAAGTTGTCTTGGCGGCGGCTCTTTGATGCGCGGATGATCCTGCTATTCACTGTGGCCCTATAGCCT